GAACAGGCCTGCAGTAAACAGGACATACCACCATAAACTAACCTAGATAAGATCGATTTGTGAAAGTAAAGTGACCTAGAAAACCCGAATAAAAGGGACCAACAGTTCATTTTCAAGGAGAGACAGAATCCAGCCATAGTTGGAATCACGTACAGGCCTTGCAATCAAGAGTCCACAGCTGCTGAGCCTCCCGCAGGTTACACGTGAGTCATCGTCAGAGCGACCCATAGGATGAATTATTTTTAGTAGGAAGTTTATCCCTGTCAGGTTCATGTCTAGGTGTCATTATCTGGTAACGACAATATAATGATCTGTTAATGTGCCCCATGTCATTCAGTTAAATAATAAATAGCTGTACTTAAAATTGTTGTTTAGAAGATTCCCCCCATAAGATCCGATTAATACTATAAATAATTATTGTGCCACGTTACCAACTTTCCTCACTTTGCAATCCCTTCTACTATAAGTCTCACTACATTCATAATGGTGCCACTAGTATCCACTACAATGGTGAGAGATGACCCATTATAATGGTGGCAAAAGCAGTCGTTACAAGCAGTATAGAAGTAGAAGCAACGGTGTAGAAGCAGCAGCAGTACAGAAGTAGCAGCAGGCAGTATAGAAGCAGCAGCAGCAGTATAGAAACAGCAGCAGCAGCAGTATAGACACAGCAGCAGGAGAAACATAGAAGCAGCAGCAGTATAAAAGCAGTATAAAAGAATCAGCAGCAGCAGTATAGCCACGGTATCATCATCATCATCATCAGCAGCAGCAGCAGCAGGAGCAGCAGCAACAGCAGCAGCAGCAACAACAGCCACAACATAACATTAGAATAACAACAGCAACAGTAAAACATTACAGTAGCAACATCAGCAGTATAACATTAGAGCAAAGTCTTGTATAACTTGGCAAGAAAGAAGATAAAACTTAAATTACCTTTTTTCTCATCAAAATTGACGTGGGAGATTAATGTGTTTTCTTATCAGTGGTTCCTTCCCTCGTGTGTATGTAACATAGTGATATGAAGGGCCGCGGGCAGCATTACAGTCTTGGGGGGTGGGGGCAGGTGGCATTTACTTGTCGAGGGAAGAATGTTTTCTTAACTTTTTCTTACCTTACATGAGTCTCCTTGTCGTGTGTTGGTGATCAGTAGTACATTACTTGGCCTCGGGTATTCAGATTGCATAGTTTTAAATGTTATTTGGCGTTCTTTGAAAACGAAATGAGGACAGGATCCGGCCCGGGACACTTGGGTTTAATATGTTAGTCGTATTATTGGATCCTATAAATATATAGTTATAAAATTCTATTTTCTCAATATTCAAAGAAGTAGAGAACTATACACAAGTAAGGGAATAATACAACTAGTGACATTGTCATTTTATTTGTTTTTACAGAAAATATCAATCGTTGCCAATTCAAGTTGAAAAGCTTACTGACCAAAACAAGCACAAAAATAATAATAATCTTCCAAAAAGCTAGAAAGTTAATATTTTTTGTCGGTAACTGACACAAAAGGACTGGTAACAATTTTGTCACTTCATCTGCAGACACTGCAGGCTCACGCCAGATCTCGACTTTCAACTTAGTGGCCATTGCAACATTTCTTTGTACAAACATAACAATCCCTGCATTCTAAATTATCTACAGTGACTAGCTATAGTGAACGTTTAATGTGCTGTTTATACTGTATTTTTGCCCTTCTTCCTTCAGAGGTTTACACACAGTAAATAATAAAGCAACGCTCTTCCAGGTATTACAAACAGAATGCGAATATTTGTCACATAAAATATTGAATACATTCACACGAAATTAACACATCCTGTATTCACTACAGCAACATAAATGTTGGATTGGTTCATTTTGATGTTTCTGGAAATAATCAGTTGGAGTTGATGTGTAAAGAATGATTCAAATACATAAATAAATCATTCTGTACAACCAGTATTAGGATATAACAGAAATAACGTGCTTAAGTGGACAGGAAAATTGATTTACAACGGTGCTGACGTTAAGCCTTGTTCAATACATTTCATAAACTTCGATAAAAAAAAACATGGATGCTGCAGTTTCTTGCCTTGGATTTACACAAAGTTGAAACCAAGGTGGAATACAAGTCTTCCAGTTAACAGCGTCATAAATCTCTCCTGTTGAGTGATGGTGCAGCATATTCTCTAACCCAGTCTGATAGTTTACGTTCGACGAGCTCTATATGGAGAGTGACCAGGAAACATAGCTTACAATGATTAATATACAGAATCAAAAGAAAAAATCAATATGGTTAATTTTGTTACTAAGTGACTGCTTACTACAAAAGCCTATCACTTGAAAAGCCAGCAATGAAATTGTTATCACAAAAGTTCACAAGTTTCTATATACATTTCTTTCACGACGGAAATACATCTCTCAAGGTCTAAAGCACTCCATTAAAATCTAGACTTAGTTGTTAAAAAACAAAGCTATTTATATTTTCTGTCTTCATATAATTAATATGTCTGTGCAACATGTTTTTTGCTTTACATCTACAGTACTTCCACAATAATAATATACGTTTTCTCTATACAATAGGCACCTTTCAATTTCTTTACCTTACACTAAACTAGAAACATTTATTGTGACTATAAAGTAATCTAATAGACCCAATGAGCTACACAAATGTTTATGTACAAAGCTTTGGCGTGGCTGCACAATAGTGTGGATCTCTCAAACATTAGTTTTAATATCCATTGGCAAAGCTGGGGTCAGTAATGAAGAGTGGAACCTTGGGGAACGCTAGTACATTGTCAGTTGTACTGTATATCACGTCTTGTCCAAGTATTCCGAATTAAAGATAATGGAGGAGATAATTTTTGTAAAATAATTTAAAGGCAGAGAGATACATCACTCCTGGTGGGATATGTAGGAACTCAAAATGGCAGTTTATCCCTTTGAAATTACCAATTAAAACATGATACAAATATTTATGCAAGCACAACTCTGGCCGACTAATTTAACCATTGCCACGCATGATAATACTCATAATGAAGACTGAATGAACAAGTTATTATTTTTGTATTAGCATCCCTCAAGGTCACCGCGAAGTCACACAAGTCAGCTGGACGACTTTCAAGGCTGGATCTCCAACATGGAGCCTCCGGTTATATGGGAAATAAGGGGAGGACAGAAATAAGTGAACAAGAGGTCACTTTAGCTGGTGTACTTTGTCTATTGTTGTTTGGGTAAATCAGGTCTAAAATGGTAACCCTGGACTAACAACCGACTCTCCCAAACAGACGCATCTGGACAATGTAAACCTCCTTAAAGATGACCAGCACAAACAAAATATGGGTGTTTTGAAAGATCGTTTCAACCATCATTTGTTCTGAGGGTAAATTCCCTGTTACAGTATCATTTACAATTGACCCTAAGAGCAAACTGGGTTAACACTATCTTCCCTGACCCCTAAAGATTGAGTTATAATGGATCTTTGGCTCGTATGACTGATTCCCACCTCAGCGGTGGTGTGCGGGTGTGTGCGATAACACACTTTACGGCGTTTCCTCCTTACGCGAGTGGGTTCCTAAAGTAGTGTTTTGTGACACGTTATAAGGTAGCTAATATCAAGTGTGTTGAAGATGTCTTGTTACACATGAAGATTTTGAAAGTACAAAATTCAGATTTCTAAAAATGCTAAGCTAAAATTTTCCGTTCTTCATGGTAGTGAAACTTACTTTTCCACCCAGAATCAATACTTACTGTATATCACTGTGTACATATAAGTTTCAGTTCCATAGTTCTATATATACTCGTATATATATATACAGTTGGTGAACCGACCCCACACGTCCGTGGACATTTCAGCAATCCACTGATCACATCTGGACTTCTTTAGGGATATATTGGAAGCAGCTGACTACCTGTGTTTCTCTCTGGACCGGAAAATGTATCACTCACATTTTTTTTAACTAATATGAAACGTGAACAGCGACTTTAAACCTTAGATAGAACTTATAATGTAAAACATATTGTGTAGTGAGATGTACAGCTTTTGGTCAACAGGTAATAAGTGTTCATAAGGAGAAAACTATTTTACAGACCAAATTAATGATATGGAATATCAAGTTACAATAATGAACTTCTGATATTGTGGGTATAAATGTATATACCGTAAATACTGTACACAAATGAGTAGACATACAGTGTTTTGAAACTATAGTTAAGAACTATCTAAGGGCGAGTATCGCGGACATCAAATGCTTCCAGTACATGAAACAACATCCTCATGAAACACGCATCCCAATATGTACAAATGTTTTATGGAAGAACAGCACGGTTCAAACATTATGAATAATATTCTATACTGTAGGATGTCACATGGATATAGGATGAATCGTGGATTAGATTCACCAATATCCTTTATGCTTCTCAACCTTGCGTACAAAGTCTCCACAACCACTGGTTATAAGGGATAAGGAATTTCACCTTACACTCGACGATGAGATTTAAGTCTTACTAAAAACAGCACTGGATTTATCTTACACTAGAAATAAATAAACAGCCTTTCCAAGAATGCCAATCTCTCCACTCAGTCTCTCTCCTCAGTCAAAGATCCAGCAACCATAGCACTTATCAACAACCACAAGAGAACGTCGGGGTTCTCTTCTTCCTTTCCTTCATAAGACTGATAGATTACAGGAAGATATAAAATTCCATTATCTATCATACTTATGGATTATATTTTGATTTTGGCTTTATATTTATTTTGACGCATCACGAGTTCTTCTCCCACTTGATTCCCGTACATGAGTCTTAACGTCACACTAAGCCAAGCTGGATTTTTTTATTAAACTTTTAATTCCTTTCAATTGTTCTCACAGATTCATGGGTTGGTCTTCACACTATCTGTTTTCTTTTCCACTTGTATATCTTACTGAGGATCACTACACACTTACCCTGCTCCTCTTCACTGCTTCTTCCTTGGGGGCCGGACGGGAACTCCCTGCATCTCGGCCTCATGTTCGGCCTTCTTCTCCTGGGCGTTGGTGATGGAGGCGGCTTTGTAGGGGATGGGGCCATAGTTGTAGGTGGCGTAATCTACGTCAGCGTACTCCAGGTCGCCCCCGCCCAGGCTGGTAAGGAACGGCTGCCGGATAGTAAATTAATGTTAGTAATAATACAAACTTGGATGTTGGAGGATGTCAACAAACAACATCGACCAATCATATGAGAATAGACGAAGCGAGCAATAACCTTTGGACTTATCACTTACAACCTTATAAAATAAAAATAACACAGGTGTTTTATTACTGTAACATAATTATATAGTTTCCAAAATTTGTCAATGGAAGGTGGACAATAACCGTTTAAGGTCTCAGAGGTGTACTGTAGTACATCGGCGTTCACCGTCCACCGACACAGCCAGCAAAATTTTTTTTAATAAATTTAACAGCAACGCTCACTTAGCCAAAAAATGGCTGAGCCCTCTAGAGAAAAGGTGGTGGAGGCTAGGTAGTGTTTAGAGTTATATAACAACTGTTACTTTTGTAATAAAAACACCAAAGCCGACAGACTGGTAGAGGTGTACATTACTAATATTTTCTAACTTAAAGATATATGGAAATATACCCATGAAAACTTAATAATTCTGCAGATTACTGCTTTAGATTTTAGTTTTATTGTAAAGGCGAGATTCAGAAAACAAATATTCGTCACATATATTCCATATATTACGTGTTTTAGAATACTCAGTGGGTTATAACATCTAGAGAAATACGAGTATATAATGTTTTCAACATCTCAAGTCACCTCTCACAAACACTTGTACAATTTTCTTGAAGCAACAGCGAGTGTTGAGATTAGGAAGCGACTATTTACAGTATCCGCAATCACGTGCTATTCAATAATTTTTTTGTAATGACCGTGGCGCCAAAACCATCTGCCAACACCAGACAAGCCAAAACAACAGCTTGGGTTTCCTGGGGCTCGCTGCTGTCACTCATACCAGTCCTGCTTAGTGTGCCATGATCACTTCTTGTATTGCAGTTAATCTTTAGACTTACTGTTATGTCTCAGCATTACTAATATTGATGTGGACAAGACTAGATTTTAGCAAAATATTACTCGCACTACGTCCAGGGGGCGAGGCGGCCTCTGGGCTGTTGGTACCTGGAATCAGGCACTGTTCTAAGGGCTTGTGCTTTCCTACCCAATTACCTAGGCCGAAACTACCTGGTGTGGATTAATAATGATGCTCTATGAACCACTGGATGACACACCCTCAAGTCTCCACACCTTACGATGAGTTGATCTTTTAAGCTGTAAGAAGGACTCCACAAGGAGATCGCAGCCTCACACAAAACAAAAATGTGATGTTACCTGCACTGTGGCATATAAGCTCTGAGCATGTGGAGATCCAATGCTAAATATTGCTAAATACCTCCTGTATTCACTTTGAAGTGTTGGGCACTCGTATATAAATAAAAGTTTTCGTAATTTAGATTTGTAATCGCTAGAAGATACTTGTGTCACTGAAAACAGTTACAATAAACACCAAGGTTCTACAGTACATATCTTTAAATTTGTATATTATTATTGAGTTACAGTAGATTATACTGCGCTTCAGTAGTAATCCAACTTCTGTGTTCCAGTGAAGAACTAAAACAAAGCACCATTTGAGTATTACTTCAGCCAGGGGTCAGAGAGCAGCAGGTGGTCCACTCTCATTTGGGAAACTGACGTGTGGGACGGACGGGACACGAGCAGGAAGCAGGATACTTTTTACCTGGATAAGTCCACCAGCCTCACTACTTTTCCCCCCACTTTGAAAAACTAAACCACATTCTCTTTCCACATGAACACCGACTGTGTACCTGAGGAGGGACCGACACTGCCTCCTCCGGCACGTGCAAGTGATTATTATTATACTCACCACCTGTGTCAGCGCGTAGTCCCTTCCCCTTGTCCATAACTTTTTGGCTGAGTCACTAAGACAGTGTCTTGGCCAGAGGGGAAATACACCCAGCAGGTCTTATTAGTGTAGCCCCATGGCTCTCGTCTCCGTCTATCCCTTTCTTATCAGAAGCGAGAACACTAAGTCAATATGCTAATGTAATTATACAGGCGGGGAGTCTGCTACAACCGTAACAGGATGCACCTAAGGAACGCTAATGCTCCACGACTGTCTTGGGAGTCATGTACTGGGAGATATCTTATCTGAATCCTCGGCTGGGATCTGAGATATCTTGCCCACTGAGTCCATTACCGAGTTTAAAGACAATAGAGGTGAAGGGGATGGGGGGAAGTTTTTTCGGTAGGAGGAGGGGGAAGCACAGGGTTATTGGAGGTATGGGGGAGGGATTAGGTCAGGTCTACTTGGGGGAAAACAACCAGTTTTCCGGGGAGTGGAGGGTAGAGGCACCCAAGTTTAACAGGGAGAGAAATACCCATGTTACCGGGAAAAGTCCATCCTAGATTGTTAATGGACAGGGGAAGCCAAAGTCTTTTTATGAAGGAGGAGGACTCCCAAATATTTTTAAGAGGGATGGGGGATTGCCAAGTTAACTGGAAAGATATGGGAATTTCCAAGTTAACTGGGGTGGTATGGGAATTGTCAAGTTTACTGGGGAGGGATGGGGATTGTCAAGTTTACTGGGGAGGTATGGGGACTGCCAAGTTTACTGGGGAGGTATGGGGACTGCCAAGTTTACTGGGGAGGTATGGGGACTGCCAAGTTTACTGGGGAGGTATGGGGACTGCCAAATTTACTGGGGAGGTATGGGGATTGTCAAGTTTACTGGGGGGGTATGGGGACTGCCAAGTTTACTGGTTTACTGGGAGGTATAGGGACTGTCAAGTTTACTGGGAGGTGGGGACTGCCAAGTTTACTGGGGAGGTATGGGGACTGCCAAGTTTACTGGGAGGTATGGGACTGCCAAGTTTACTGGGAGGTACTGTTACTGGGGAGGTATGGGACTGCCAAGTTTACTGGGAGGTATGGGGGACTGCCAAGTTTACTGGGGAGATATGGGGACTGCCAAGTTTACTGGGGAGGTATGGGGACTGCCAAGTTTACTGGGGAGGTATGGGGATTGTCAAGTTTACTGGGGAGGTATGGGGACTGCCAGGTTTACTGGGGAGGTATGGGGATTGTCAAGTTTACTGGGGAGGTATGGGGACTGCCGAATGTACTGAGGAGGGGGTGCAGACAGCCATGTCTTCTTAGGAGGAGAGGCTCGAGGCTTCTGGGAGAAGGAGGGGAACTATAATTTCCAAGGGAGGCGCCAAAGATTTCTGGGGAGGGCGACTCCTAAGTTTATTGGAGAGGAGATATGCAGGGAGCATATGTTGACTAAGTTAAGGAGTATTTATTTTGTTAAAAATTCATAACCAAGAAATAAATTTACAATGGGAAAGGAGCAACTACTTTATGAAGAATATCCGGAACACAAGTCTCGCTGCGATTGACAAGTTAATATGGTCATCGTATGTTAAGAAAATTATGCCTCAAAACAGACCGAAAATGAGAGATGAAATCGCCATAACCAATCGCAAATGACATAATTTCTTGATATTATTTCAGCAACTAAACGTACATTTCAAATTGTGCTTTTGTCAAATGAAAGACTATAATTACCAGATTCTTAGGTATACAGATAAAACTGTATTTCGTCTGATCTCACCTTCAAAGGGGCATGAAATCCGATACAAAAGCCTCTAATATTCAATCCAATCTCCTTGGTATTATAAAATGTATCCTAGAGTTCGGTAACCTTAGAACATGATTTATATATTTAGTAAGATGGAATTTATAATATTTTTAGATGTAATGTATGCATTTTGTCTGTTGTATACTGTCTCTGGATTCTATGAGTAAAACTTTTTTCATGTCACTGACTGCATTACAGGAATAATACATAATAAAATGAGAGAATACAATAAATGAAAGATATTTCAGACATACACGGACATACGCCATTAAACTTACATATTCTTAGCTTCACTACTATAAATCAACGCATCTTAAACCACTATGGAGCAGAAGAAGAAAGTACCACAAACCTTTTATACGTCGATTTCCTGTCCCACAATAGGACCATTAAACTGGAGGATGGCATACTCAGTGTTGAGATCTCTTCTGTAATGGTTTGGCTGGCCATTACGAGATAAGGCTAGGTCTGCGTACACAACTCCTGGAGCGTATTTAGGGAGATGTGATTGACTGTTTGCAGGTTGTGGATATGCCTTAGAGGCGTGGGTTTGGGAACTAGGATATGACGTGGCAGGATGTGACTGAGTGTTTGGGTATGAAGTGGCAGGATGTGATTGGTTCTCCAACCTATGTGGATATGTTGAGGATGAGTATGACTGTCGCGAGCATGAGTTATATGATGGCGGAGGATGGGACTCTTTTAGCGATGAAGATGATGGGTATTGTTTATATGTTGCAGATGGATTTCTTTGGTAATGTGGCTGGTACTGTGGTTGGTACTGAGTTTGGTATTGTGGCTGGTAGTGACTGGAGGATGGGGAAGAGGAGGATGACGAGGAGCTAGGCGTAGGATTCTGAGCTGACCCGTAGTTGGCTGTCTTTCGGTTCTGTAAGCAAATCACAAACGCATTCCTTTGTTAGTTGAGTTAGTCACACACACAACAACCACCTGCACTATAAACAAACTCCAGTTCAAACAAAGAAATACTTAATATCTTGTTTATTCAGAGTGTAGCAATAATATCAAAAATTACATCGATTCTGAAGCACTAAGGAATAAAGAGCAGAAAACTACAAAAATCTGAGAAGATAAGACTCACGTGTTACATAAACAAGAACCGTGGCAACATAGATGCCAGTGTCCTGCTTATGCATTGGTGAAACAAGATAAAAAAAAACAGAAGATTAGAATCACAGAATTATAGGAACTCAGATGTAAGTAAAGAAAACATTTTATCATGGAAATGACCTTCAACGTTTCTCAGTCCCCGGGATCTACAGTAAACAAGTGCTGCACTATGTGAGGGAACGGGAAACCAAAATAGATCTACAATGTGGAAATAATGCAAATATGACAAATGATTTGGCAACGCAATGACAGGTCATTTACCACGACAAACAAAACAAAACATAAAACAAAACAAACCTCAGGCAGTACATGGTGTGGTTGTTTTGGTGAAGGACGCTGAGCATTCGTAATGTTATCTTTGGTGGGAAGAGGAATATTCTGGTACGTGTGCTTTACTTTTCCGCCAGTACCGTTTCGTGGCGCTGGAGTTGGCAAGGTATCTGTCGTTTCCGTGACGTCACTCGCCCTTGGGTCAGAGGAGGGCTCGTGATTGCGTACTTTAGTGGCTCTACCTGGTCGTGGAATATTCCGATTGCTCGAACCTTCTGAGTATATAGAGTCGGTATTAGAATCTGCTCTAGATGGGGGTCTACCTATGACTGTGAGTTTGGATGTCTGACTGGACTCGAGGATGAGGGTATTTTGAGATGGTTGTGATGTGATGGTGTGTTTGGTCTCGGAGGTGAAATGTGTGGTGTGTTGGCTTGGAGCCAGAACCTCACTCTCGTTCTCTCTCAAAGGATATGTCGGAGAATCTGTGGTTGGGACAGTTTGTATGGTGGGCTGTTTGTCGATCATTTGGTGATTTTCCTCACTGTTACCCTTACTTCTCCCCTTTCTCTTGTTTCCGGTAAGCCTCATGGAAAAATATGCTGCTGTTTTTGCCAGCGTACTTTTAGCAGACTTCTCTGATGCGCTCCTTAATGAACCGTACGACTCAGAATTTTGCCTCTGAACGCGATTGAAACCCTTCTCATCTTCCATCTGGGCCACATCCTGGCGGAAACTCACGTCTCGCCTCCCTGGCACCTTCGGGGGATCCTTCGAGCCCTCCTCTGAGCTAGACTGATTGAGATTGACGTCTTTCCTGCTTCGGGTTGATCCGTAACCGGAAGATGCCTGCTGGCTTAGCTGGCTAGGAGGTCGACTGCCTCCTGCACTACCACCTCCTCCCACCATGCTGGACCCTGGCACCTCCGGAGCGTCCTGCTGACCATAGTCACTACACCTTTACTACCCAACACTAAACAACAGGTTAACTACAACACCAGGACCAAACCAAAATATATATAATATCTAATTTGTTACAACATAACTTGCAACTTTTACCATATTATTTATTGTCTCAAGAAACAGATTAAATCATCAGACATGAGTATAGGCACTGACGAATTGACATTTAAATGAATTAAATATTTTGGTTAGTTCCGTTTCACAAACAAATATAAAATGACACAAAAAATGTGATATCACACAACACATCAAAACAAAGGCAGTATAAAACAGGTTAAAAAAAGCTACTGCAACTAAATAGCATCCATGCACAAATACTGGGGAACTGAAGTAAATCAACGGCCACTCTAAAAACAATTTAAGTCCCTTTGCAAAATAAATATTATTACCTGATAACCTCGATTACTATTTGACTTTTATTAAAAAAAAATCAGTCATAGAATGGCCCAAAAGTCGCAAGCGTTTAGTACTAGTGTTTTATAATCCATACTCGTACATTTTGTTATTATTAGGCAAGTAAAACAAATAAATACCTCCTGGTACTGGTGCACCTCCTACCTGGTCACACAGCTTGATATTAACTGAAATTATTCTTACCTTGGTAGTCTTTACTGTTATCTACTGTATACCAAAGTCTGGGCTTAAAACTCCCGTACACACACATATAATAATCTAATGCGCCTTGAACATGGTATTTCTGTACTTTGATGTTTAAGTCTTTTAAATTACTTCCCATCGAGCCAATTTACCTTCCTCTCATAACACCATTTTCTTCTATAACAATTTCCTACTTTTTATATTGATACTCTTATAGCATTCTTACCATGTTGATTTATTTTCATATCACATTTTGTTTTCAGTACCAGCAAAAAATTAACATGCCGTTTGCCTCCCTTGACCTTACCTTGTTAGGCGGTGGCTGCATGCCGTGGAAAGGCAGGTTTTCGTAGAAGGTCTGTTTGTCATCGTCGGGTGGCGAGGGAATTCCATTATCTTTGGGACCAGTAGTCGGGGGTTTAGAAGCTTCAGGATCTTCGCCCGGCATGAAAGTAAACATATTAGCGAACTGGCAATTTTCTGTGATCATGTCTGTGAAACTAGTATACTCTTTATGCTACTGCAGAGTTGGAATTAAGTAAAAATATTATAGTGATTTTTGTTATCAAGCGTTAAAAGCATTAGTGTTTGATTGAGGATTTGTTTTTCTTTTTTTACAAAGGTCTGCAGAGATTGAAGTTGGAGCCTTCTTACATCTGGCAAATATTCAGGACACATTTTGACATCTTGGTGGAAGACAGTGCAGGGCGAGAAGAAAAACACAAAGGACAAACAAACGCTCAGACTTCAAGCACACATTTTGCAACAGTTATGAGCACATCAGCAGATTTTTTTTGTCCACTTGATTTACTAAAAAAAATATCAAAATATTTAGAGTAGCAAGAGATGGTACGTTCCTCCTTACACAAAGAGTTGAGGTTTTACTGCTGTGTTTCAACGACAACGACACTTAAGAGTAGCATTCACAGTATAAAGCTTTAAAACAAAACAAAGCTGTAAATTGGCAATTGAGAACGAAATAAGCTTTCAAAATTTGTTTACAATTTCTTGAGAGCAAAGGGAAGTAAGAGTCATTCATCACTAAATGAAAGCCAGAGGAAATTATAACATACAACTGCGATATTAAATAAAAAGTCTCAGACACAAGAAGTTAGAATAACTGTTTACAAGTGCACGTGGACCTCTCTCTCTCTCTCTCCTATATCAGGGCAAATGCAACCACAAACTGTCAAGTACAGTGGCAAACAATTATTCATGCCAGTCACAATGATCCTAACGCATCATGTAAACAAATGTAAACAGGACTTTCCTCGCGTGCCATTTTATCATTGATTAGAGAGGAGGTGGAAGGGCGGTAAATGGGTGGTTATCATCCAGGACCTCTGACTATCAACAGTTCGTAAGAGAGTTTGTTTATGTTGATACACGCCTCACTGTGTTTACGCCGGGAAAGTTTGCTTACATTTATGATGTCTTAGCAGCTGTATTAACTCCATTACAATATATAAAAAAGCTCTCCATCTGAAGAACTTGATAATGTATTATGATATACACTGACATTTACATCATCAGCCCGGAGACGACATTACCGATTGAATATTGCGGTTTTTTTTTGTCCTTGCTGGGAGTTAGTTTATGGCTATATAGTATTATTACACACCTGAATAGGGCCCAATTAGGCCAAAAAGAAGGAACTGACTCGTATATGAAGGAACTTTGCATTAAAAAGGAAAAATTATTGGGCAAGAGTTCAGTGAACCTAACCTTCTTCCAGCGTTGTGTCAAGTCTAAAACTCAATATTTGACGACTTTATTAATATTGGAGGACTGATCTCACCCTGTCGAGTAAAGATAACAAGTTTGTTGCCATGGGGAACTTTATATACGCCTTAAAGATACTGTACAAGACAAGCCTTTAGCCCACAAGAGAAGCTCGTATTTTCAAAAGAGCCAGTCATCTGAGATCTCCAAGAACCAATGATTCAAGTAAATGCTGAAAATATATAAATAAAAATATCAGGTGGTTGTTGGCAAATATACATCTAAGCATTCTACAGTCATATATAATACACAAAACTGTTGCTGTTTGTGTCGTTTCCAGTGATTGTGAGCCGTGGTAATTGTGGTCCTTCCTCGATGCCATTTCTCTAAGGTGATCAAGCATGGTGACCGTCAGTGGAATCCTGACGTTAATGTCTCTGGGTAGTCAGCTGCATCGACGGCAGTGTTTTAGTATTTCCAGAAGGAATATAAATCAATGATTTCCACTTGAAGCGGGAGTTCTTGTCCACCATAGAGAATAGCTTTTCAAGGATGACCCGGCTATATAACACTCGTTCAACACTTAGTTAAGACACGCACATATAACACTTACTCATTATCTAAACTCTCAAAATTTTATGGCATTATGAATGAAGCATCTGAACAGCAAGGCTCGACAAGGCGAATTCTAATACTCATTTAGTGATTCTTAATGATTATATAACTTAATTTATAAGGGACAGTTAAGAAGGAAATTCATGAATGGTCTTATAAGTTAGGTTTTTCTTTTAACCAAGAAACAAAGTGGGTGAGACTATTTATCAAGCAACAGGTCAACAATATAATATAAAAGTCCTCGTTACTCATAATTAAAGGTCTGACCACAAGCATTAAAATTAAAAAAATACACTACTGTATACAATTCACTTCATTTTGTCATGAAACAAGTAACTTTCCTACTGTTGAGTATTAGAATTCGACGTGACAGTCACGTGAACGAGGTGACCCGGAAGTGACCCCTGAGGTGCCTACCTTGACCTGGCTTTTTGCGCTTACGTCCGGTCGTCGACCCCTCGCTGATGTCTGGCTTGGTCTGTACCACGACTAAAACAGACACAGACAAATACCGGACATGACACAAAAAACATTCACAAACAAGACACATGCAATCAAAGGTGGCTAGTTTACCTGTGCTAAAATAATCCACGTGTTAAGTCAGTTATTATTATTATTATTATTTTATTGTTATTATTATTATTATTATTAATTCAACATCATTGCGAATATTTAGCACAAATAAAGGACTAATTAATAAATAAAGAATCATGTTACATGTGAGGGAATGGGCGAAGAGAAGGTTTTAAAAACAGCCTTTATATAAAGTTTTTAATCGTTTTGATTATTGTTTTATATCTGTGCACAGACTTGATTCGTCATTTAATAAATAGGATGGGAAATGTTTTCTTTTATTTTGTTTGTTTTTATTTCTTGTTTTACTATTAATAACTAGGTAATAAGTGTAGGTATACTAAACTCAACTACTGTAACGGTTAGAGTGAACTCAACTAGCTAGCAAACATTAATTTCGGCTCCCCTTCATTTCTTCTGACAAAGTTCAGGTATGACTCCGCTTGACATTATTCTCTACAAAAGTTCACTTGGAGATAACTTTCTATACATTAACTCTCTTGTTCTCACCTGCACCCCAACACTTTGTACATAACATGAACTGGCAGTGAAAACCTCTCACCCATTACCAAAGTTTCTTCATTAATTATCGTCTGTTGCAAAAATTTTAAAACTTGTTATTGCAAGAGGATGAATCTGCTCTGATTTCTTTGGAGAAAGGCTGCTGTGTTATGTGTACAGATTCATTAATACTTGAATCGAGAGCACCACCCCGTCTAGACCGATATTATCTTACGTTAGTTAAGTGTAGTAGTCGATTGCTAAGTAATAAAAAGTGACTGGTGGGCATCTATGCTGCGGACTACAGTAGTGCTGGAGGTGCAGGTGCGACACTAACTTCCTGGAGGGGCGGCCGTCAACATACTACTGTGTTGAAGGTGAACTCTTGGCCACATGCACATTTAATAATTATTCAAATGCCGTCTCTCATTTCATTCTTGATAATTTTTAACCCTCAAGGAAATTATTTGTGCGGAAACTACACCAACTACCATTGTTTATCTTGTTTTGTTTGTATTTATTAAGAGGAAACTTTTTGGCTAAGTTTGGGAGAACAAAGTTTAGTTATAGGATGTACTGCGATGCAAAATGTCTAAAAATATACAATAAGAGAAAAACCCACTAGAATGACCATTACAGGTCAACTATGTTTACATTTTGCACTCACAGTATATACGTAAGTAGGACAAGTTCATGTAGAGAAACATACCTGAATTCCCCGTGTGAAAGTTTACGTCAAGGTCAGAAACAGCACTTTTTGGTCTGTATTTGTTGTTGTTAGTCGCAGATTTAGGATGGGAGTGGGAGGTGGGAGAGTGGTCTGAGGACACCAAATCCTCCCGTGAAACATCCAGAGAGGTTTGGCGAGGAAGTGTGTGCGGGTTATTGTGGGAATTAAGCTTGCGGAGGCTGGAGCCAGCACGTTTGCTATCTAAAGTCGGGTACTGTTGGTGAGGGTGTAGAGGGTGGGAATAACTAGGATGGTGGTTGTCCTGTTGGTTGTGGTGGTTGTTGGCCAGGGGATGGGAAGCGTGTTGGAGAGGATGCTGGTGGTACGGGTAATGCTGGGGGTTGTGAGGAGGAGGTGGGGCGGTGGTGGTGGGAGGAAAAAGGTTCGTCATGGTGTTATTGTTGTGCATAGGTTTAGAATCGTCGGTCAGGCTAGTGAGTGAGTTGACGTGCACGTGGACGCCGGGACGGAGTGGCCACTTATGTACTGGTTGGACTGAGGCAGGGGAGAAGGGGTCGGGGCGGGGCGAGGTCCCTTCCGGGCTATAACAGAAGGGGGAAAGAAGGGCCACCAGAGCGCCTTCGTCAACATCAACACATTCACCACACACGACATCAATGAAACTAAAGGAGACATGGGAAGCTGTCATTAATGAGCCTATACTTCCAATTTGATCATCAGGATGTGAGTCATAATTTATGTTATCTCAACAACATTCATCTGCCAATTACAGTACAAATACTGTTTCCCACAAGCTAATGAAAGCTTCCCGAGGATACTCCAGATAAGCCTATCAATCACGAATTATTAATGACAAATAGTAAGATACAATGTGGAAAAAGCCACCTGTTACTCTTTTTTAGTGCAGAGCCTTTGCCTTGTGGTGTAGAGAGAGGTATACGACAGTGAGCTAGAAAAAAAAGTGTTATAGATGGACTAGGGAAGCCGCATGTCAACCTTCTACGCCGTGCACTAAGTCAGGTCCGGAGGGATAATACAGTACCAATACTCGTCACTCATGTCACGACTCAGTCGTCCAAGACTGCAATCATTACATACGGCAATATTCACAGCATTGATCTTAATTAGTGCCTCATATTGCTGATTTTAACAGCTATAAATTTGTTGGCCGTCTTGATACTGCATTACTCTCGGAACAAACAGAACACGGACTACGAGGACCAACTAAAAGGATCAGATTACCTTGTGCATTGGTAGCGGTACTATCGGAACTTACTCCTTTCCGTAGGTTAGGGTTTTAGGACAGGCAGTAAGTAGGGACGATGCATCAAATGGAAAAGAAAAGAAAGGAACAGATAAACTTACATTACGTATTCAAGATTAAATAGTAGCTAAATATAAATGGGTAAGCGAAAAAAATATTAAAGAACTTAATAATGCATTCAGCCGATTTTCATGCCCGTTCTTGAACGCAAGCTGGAAAAGTCTCCGGTTTCTATCGGAATTTTGTCTTCTTTAAAATTAGTTTACATGAATGGTTCGCTGTCTACGATCACGTATGTCCAAACGTTTCAAAATTTTACACTTCTAAACATCATTAATAAAACTTGTCACTAATTTGTAAATCCTAGAAAAAAAGGATTTATTTTCGTTTGGTTATCTGGTAAGGTTGAGGTGTGTAACAGGGAAGGTGGTTAGGGAGGCTAGGACTGGGGAGGTAAGCGAGGACAAGGGAGGAAAAAAGAATGACTGGGATGAGAGGAAGAAAAAAATGGACGCTTACAGGCGCTTCATTAGGTACACACGCACACTTGTTCACGTACACACGCACACGAGGCACATACAGGGAAGTACAAGACGAGACGAACACTTAGCAACACAAGACGAGACGGCCGTCTGCCTGCTGAGTGGTGGCTGGGGGAAGGGGAGCGCCCGGCCCTTCCTCACACCTGGTTTCAAAAACACAGGTAAGAGTGAGCAACATTATTCTTCTACTCATTCTACCACAAATTTCTGATTCTTTGAAGGACCAAACGAGAAAAAAAATGATAACTTGACAATAACAAATGGTTAGTAACATCCTTTATGGATATCAGAAATTTGTTGGGTGTTTTAGAAACGTGTCGACAATAAATAGGTTATCCCGTCTGAAGGTGTGTCTCTGAGCTCGGGTAGCATGATCCCGTCCTGATCCAGCCAGCGCTACAGCAGGCGGCAGCAGCGACGAGGCAGCAGCAGCAGGAACAGCAACAGCCAATACTTACGGTGGTGACGAGTGAGGGATTCCGGGGTGTTCATGAGGGCAGTTCCTTGGACGCGTGCTCGGGGCTCGGCTCTTCGTCCACCTTGTCTGTAACACCCGGGCCCCAACTCTTAGCTACACCCAGGCTACACTCAGCCCCCTTTAACACCTGATACGCCTTATGCTGTAGCCCAGGACACCAGGGCCCGCACAGGCGTACACACGTGCCTAATTGGACGTACACACGTACCTACACGGGCGTACGACACGTGCCTACTTGGGCGTACACACGTGCCCTACACAAGTGTCTCAACATTTTATAATATTCTCACGCCACGTGGACAAAACACGGGGTAGCGTTGCACACGTTACAGGCTCACCCTCAGGCAGACAAGGCCACACCCACACAACGACACCTTCACCTCTGACATAGCCAGGGAGGTGTCTCAAGCCACACTGACCATCCACCTCACACTTAAGGCAACATGTACAACAACGAGTACAGCCAGAAAATAGACAGCAACAATAAGAACATGAGAGTTACATCTTAGCTTTTGCCATTTTTCAATAAAATAAACAAAAGCAAAAACAAAACATATACATACATACATACATACATACATACATACATACATACATACATACATACATCAAATTGAATGAATGGGATGCGCATTCACAAAACATAGCAAAAAACTTGAAGAAAAATTTGGACCTTAAAAAAAGTCAGTCAATAGAATAAGCTACACATTCACAAAAGTTGGAAAAAATGCGAATAAATTCCATATTTTGCCTTTATCTTAGGTGATGTGCAATTCCTGAGAGTTGTTAAAGAAATGTAACTGACAGGCTTGAGTTAGTAATGCAGCAGTAGTAGTAGTATTGTCCAGTCGTACAGACATGCCCATACACACACCCGTACACTAGTACACTCAGTTACTGTAGCACGGAAACATGCACACAAATCTTTGACAGTTTAAAAATGCAAACAGAAGGGTTAAGGTGGTGGTTGTGGGAAGGAGAGGCAGCTGAGCCGGATCCATCGTTATTCACATTATACTCGTTTATCCGACCACTAATCATCGGGATAAGCGTGAACTCTGTGTAGACGGTGTTGGATCAGATCAGTAGCGTTGGTGAGGGTTTAGGATGAGGCGAGACTGTTCACTGGGCGGGTTAAATTGGAGATCAAAGGGATTCCCTACAGTCTAACAGATACCGATTATTCACACATTGATTGTCATCTGCAAAAGGCTGTTTCAACCTACATTGAATTGTTATTTTACTGGAACTTTGTATCTCCTCACCGGCTTAGGTGAAATTTGGGCATAAATTAATTATTCAAATAGCACACTGATGCACTAATTTTGTTTAGTAGTATAATATATGTACTGCCGAAGCAAGTACCGTTCTATGAAAAAATAAAACCTTATTAGCAAGTACAAAAACATTTTGTTGGTATTTACTGGCTGCAGTAGTGGTAATGATTTTTTTTCTTAATGTTTCATTGGATAAATATTTAACATACCTGGTCTTTAGCCTTTATTATCATAAATTAATAGAACAATTAAGGGGATTTTGTACCTTGGCATCTTCCCTTATGTAATGTCGTCCGCTGATCAAAGCAGTCATTTTACTCCTCTAAATCCCTCTTAAATCTATAACGACATTTGTTCAGAAAACTGACGAAGGTCTCAAAAGACTTACACTACTGTAGTTATCAAATGGAGAATCAATTACAATAAATTATTATTCAGGAATAATTGGCTAATGTTCAGTGACTCTTCCAGCTCGTGTCGGGGCGGTGCACAGTAGTCTTGTTTACCTGCTCAGGGGGAGGTGCCACAAGGTGCCAGTGGGAGGGTGGGAAGGAGAGTGAAGGAGAGAGAGGAGGAGGGTGAGGGAACCTGGAAGGAGTGGAGGAGCTGAGAAAACAAATACTGCATCAGGATGGATCGTTAACCAGCAAGTTGTAACAAGTTAGGTGGTAAACTAAGCTTCCAAACGCAGAATTCCTTTTCCAAGTTGGCCCTAGTCGCGTACCTCCCACCCGCCGCCTCTTAGAGCGCCCCAGCTGCGTATTGTGATGGAGTTTCACCCTTACCTCCATACTCTTTTTACTGACGTGTCTATACCCGCGGAAACCCAATTTGTATAACAAAGTACTTACAAATTAATTAAATATATTTGTATATATATATATATATATATATATATATATATATATATATATATATATATATATATATATATATATATATATATATATATATATATATATATATATATATATATATATATATATATATACAGTATATTATTTTTTAAACTGTATTCTATATTCCTTAAAAAGTACTTAGTTGAGGTAAATCGTGTAATATACGGCAATTGGGCGCAATGCAGTTACGATTGTGGTAGTAATGGTGATTGTGGTGGTAGTAATGCGTAGGCAGCTGGTGGCGCGTGGGCATGGCCAGGAGGCAGGGGCGGCTGTGTGGGCGTGGGTGAGTGGCGGAGCTAGTGGCGGAGCTAGTGGCGGGTGTGGGTCTGTGGGCGGCAGTTAAGGAAGGTATGAGCCAAGCCTGAGTAACGTCCTCCCACAGCTGGTGGTGGCTGTGGTGGTGGTGGTTGTAGTGGTTGTGGTGGCTGCTCGCACGCAAGAAAATGACACACGGCACTTAAGATACTGATACTGACAACTGGGGGAGGGTTAGGGCAGGGGGAGAAGGACTCTGGAGACCTTAGAGGACATGGGTTACGGAGATTGTAAGGGCACCTAAAACAGAAAGGGGCAAGGGTGATGGTGAAGAGCAGCAACGATAGCTGGAGACATCAGTCGCATAGTATTAAGAGAACAAAAATATGAGGGAGAAAATGGACGAGAATAAGAAGAGACACAGAGGATGTGATGATAAATATTGGCACATAAAAAAAACAGGCCGATTTCAGTGGGGCACCATTACTTAAAAAGAAATTGAGGACAATATTAATTACCGAAGAAGAAGTGGATAAACACAATACCTATTTGTTTCTATTATAAATTTTCTGCTATAACAAAAATGGAAACCTAATTCACCATTACATGAATTAACAGAGAACAATTGGGTTGATAAGAACTAAAAATCTCTTTATGCAGTAAAATAATGTATTTTTCGCCCTCCTGAATTAAAGTTTATTATGGAACTTTTAAACCGGTTCTTAAAGGCCAAGGGGATGGTTTAAAACTTATGAGCCGCACACTTAAGTCCGCAAGAGTTATTTTTCGTGATGAGTTGCGAGTTCTGAGTTCTTGCTGAATTCTAAACAAGAGTTTGAGGGAGTGACTGGGGAACAATAGATCACCATTAACAGCTGGCGTCCTGGGGAAACATTCTTCTCTACTAAGCCGTCGGCAGCAAAAGCAGTGGAGAAATTTCAGTGACCGACAAGCTGCTCCAGAATTGTGATCGCTTTCAAATTCCTGACGTCTTAAGCGATGAATCACGTTAACACAATACCGTGCTTGAGGACCTAGCGGTGAAGTATATACCGGCACAGTAACCTCCTCTGATGGTCACGATAAATAGTGCCTCAGCTGTGTTTAGAATTCATGGAAGAACGACTTGCCAAGAGGAGGGGAGGAGGGAAACAAACTGCAAGGGGCCATGTGGGGAAATTTAAACAAGTCATGTACAAAATAGTGATGCAATTCCAAAGGGATTTTGCGATTTATGAGAATGCAATCGAGGTTGATTTTGGATAAAAGAAGTACGTCTATGTACAACATAGTATAATCTATTTTGTATATAATGGGTTATAAATCGTGGTGTGGGGGGGGGGGCAATGTGAAAATACCGAGATTTAGTGCTTCTTGCTCCCGACATATGCCCGGTGATGGAAACGTTGCACAAGGCAACCTCTGCATACACAGACAGGACCCAGGACCCGTTCCGGAACGTGAAAAGCAATACACTTGTAAGAAATGTGCCACTGTATTAAATTAAATATATCTCTTATATTCATATTTTTTTCATATCAGTTGCGTACAAAACTAACTTTGGGTAGAGAGAAAAGATTGGTGCTTATTTTTAAAGATGCTTTAAGATTACTGCAGATATTAGTAATGTCTTTTAATTACCAGCATGCATTTAAAGCTAGTCCTACAATACTTTAAATAATGTCGGGTGGAAGGCATAGGAAAGCAGGAAGCAGTAACTCAGTGTGAGTCTCCCGACCGTTAGTAGCTGCGGGTGTGGCTCCGGGCTACTACGAAATGGAGAACGGGATGAAGGGAAGGGGAGAGGGAGGCGAAGGCTGTGTGCTAAGTGCAGAGATTATCCAGCTGGAACTGACTACACTTCCGCTTTCAGTTAAGAGACATTAAAGCTGTTCACTCAGGGGACACATTCATGAAGTTAACGTCTATGTACAACTTAATACATCGACAATGCCGGACATTTTCCACTGTGTCTGTTTTTTACACGACAGATGAACAATATCAGCGACAGTGAACATTTTATGCTTGCAGTAATCTTCCCATGAACACAATGCCTGAGTGTAAGGACCAAGTGTCTCTCCAGAGGGCGGAAATTTACCAGCTCCTGAGCCCACAGCTGATTAGTAGAAACCCTTTAGAAGCTACTTTGGCTGCAGATCCTGATAACACACACGGCTATATAGTCATGATTATGTAGAACTCTGTATTTTACTATAAATTAACGCATAATTAATCAAATGCAAATATAAATTATAAACACAAAATATCTTACACAAATATAAATTTACATAAATTTTACCCAGGAACAGCAAGCCAAAGAAGCAGTTGATTTGACTCGGTTTTCAGTACCTGAGCTGGGTCTCGTGATCACGGTACCCGAAGCAGGTAATGGCACAGAGCAGCCCAGTGGGATATCACATTATGGGGTACCAGTTGGTGCTCAAGCACACACTGAGGACGTGACAATACCAGAAAGGTGGTGTAATAGACGTGAGGTCTAGTATAACAAGGTGGCTCTTCCACAAAGTTTAAACATAATAATGCAAGGGCTACTGAGCTACAGTCTTGTTGTTAAGCAAATCAGAATCATGGATAAATTCTCTTTTTAAGGGTTCAAGTACCCATGCAAGGGGCTGCTCAGTTAGTGTTAGAGAAAATGTCCTGGAATCTATGTTTGGTGACTTAGCTAACCATGCATATATATATATATATATATATATATATATATATATATATATATATATATATATATATATATATATATATATATATATATATATATATATATATATATATATATATATATATATATATAATAATAATAATAATTTTTTGAACAAAATTTTAAGCTACTTCATCCAAAATAATAAATCTACGTCAAGAAAAACTGAATTCGAGGTGAATAATACACAAAATATAAAATAACATAGAATGAACAAACTACTTATTTTTCAACTACTTCTTTTACTAGTGAATTTAAGTGAATTTTATTTACTGGTTTTAGAATATTAACAAACGAAAAATGACATGAAAGGAATGGAACTTACTTCTCTCTCTCCTGTAAGTTGGTCGTACCGTTGTCTAAGCAAGCAGGGGAGGGAAAGAAACGCGCTAGTTTAAATATGAGGCCCAAGGGACTTGCACTGGGGAGACCCCTAATGCCAGATGTTTGAGTGTGTATGGGTGTGTGAGTGCCGTATTGCAGGCGGTTCTTGATACACTGTGTGAGCTATGTTAGTGTGCAAATATCACGATAACTATAATGTGTCACACCTCTCCAACAATGGTGACTGGTGTTCTTCCCTTTAAATAAGAGAAGAAAAACAGTAATTTTATTATCTTAGGTTGAAAAATCTTCACAAATCAATACAATTAGTAACGAAAGCTAAGTGAAAATACACAATATTCATGAAACACAGGCACATGGTTGGGAGAGGCGTCACTCAGTAGATTAATATAAACAGATTTTTGGTCTGACACAGCACCAGCTAAAGTCCAAGAAGCTACACACACCACTCTCATGCTGTCATCTAATTCTAGACTCCCCACATTGGTTATTATAATGACTAAAAACGAACCCCAGGAGTATATAGATAAAATAAGTAATTACATATATAAACATTAAGAATATATTTACTTGGAGTACTGGCAAGAGATAAACTCCTGAAGTTGTCCTCCAGTTAGCTTATGGTCGATTATGTTTTTTTTTGTTTTTTGAGATGGTCCGTAACTTTAGGTTCTGATGCAAACTAAGATCTCTACTACAACACCTGGTTCTAACACTTAACATTCACTGAGCTCTATCTAGATGAACATTGTATAAAGTCATATATCCAACATCCAAAAGTTACTTCCCATTTTCTTTATCAAAGCAAATCTAAAAAAAGCTTGTAAAAATCTAGACACAAGGAAAACGACAGGAGGGGAGTGCCAGGTTGTACTTACATTTTCCGGCTTGCCTTTGTCTACGGCAGATGACGATAATGACGACGCAGATGATGAGGACGAGGACGATGACGGCTGCTACTATGGCGGAGATGACGATGATGTTGTCGTCCCCGAGCTTCTCCATAATGCCTGCGACACCTTATAATGTATGGACGGACGTGGAAACCGAACTTTAGTAAGGTTAGTGGATTGTTATATACAGTAGAACGACGACTGCTCTACAGTACACTATCGCTACTGCGTCACTGAAATACATCTACGTTTATTGTTGCACTACACACTTTATGCCAGAGATATTAAACGTTTTAAACAAAAAGTGAATGTATCGCCATGCAAATCTAATCCAACATTGAATTACAGTGAAATTATGTATTTCATAATGTTAAAATTTCTAATATTGAATATTAAATGGTCAATATTGAAAATAATTAATGCAAGCGTACATGCAGTTAATATGTACAGCAGCACTGAACTACTATTAGCTATATTTATATTCTATTGTGTCAAACTGCTCACACACGTTTACATAAGGAAGAGACTTGCTTCACGTACACTTATTGAGACCAACAGCGACACATCTAAATCTTTATTCATCAGTAAATTGCACCAGGCACCAAACCCGCCAGGCAGGTACACATAAAACCTTTCTCTGCCTCCATACACTAGCACTATACTAGATTTTAAAGGAAATTTTAACTCTGTATGTAGACATAATATACAAAATTCATGCAGGAAGTGAGTACAATACAATATGGTTGTATATAAAGCCATAATATCATGACATTCCCACACTCAACTCCTCCACTTGCTACGAGAATTTTTTTTTATCCAGGCTCATTTTTTTTTTGGTACCCCCGTTCAGCCATTAATAACGTGTTACTTTATTTCCATCGCTTCAAACAACACTTTACAGAGATGTTATTCCCTGGATAATACACAGCTGATTCTGAACTATCTGCCAAGAAACGTGGGGTTCTGGTCTGTCACAATCACAATGTGTCATCAAGAGGTTTTTGTTTGTTGCTGTTATCAAATATCATTCGAGTTATCGCCTCATTCTCCTGCTTCATCATTCTCTCTGTCCGAAGTACCTGGGGCTAATATCCCTTCCCTCCTGTAACCTTCCCCTTACACCCAATGATCTTCCTTTTACCTCCAGTAATTATCCCCTAACCTGCTGCAACCCTTCCATTTACCACCTGTAACACCTATCCCCGTAAGCCACCACTAACTTACCCCACTCACCTACCTCCTTCCTGTATGCAATGGCACAGCACTTTATCTCCGATGGCAATATAGCTGATATACTGTGGCTGTATCCACACTTCGCATCTAGTACCCAATCAATATTTTATGTACCGATTTAACAGACAATGTACTGGAAATACTCTGTAACACTCAATGCCACAATATTATGATCACTGGGGTCTGATAAACACCCTTTGTGTACCCTACTCAGTATTCCTCTTTGTGCTACTCACAGGATGAGCATGGGATGCACAATAAACTAGCTGCTATCTGCGGCAAATTCAATTCCCAGTCACCGACCCCTTCCCACTCACTGGCCTCCACCCAACTCATCGACCTTTTGCCCACTCACCGATCCCCTTCCCACTTACTGGCCTCCTCCCCACTCACCGACTGCCTTCTCACTCACACGACCTCCTTCCCACTCACTGACCTCCTTCCTACTCACCGACATCCTTCCCACTCACCGACCTCCTCCCCACTCACCGACCTCCTCCCCACTCACCGGCTACACCTCTCTTACAGACATCCTTCCCACTCATCGACCTCCTCCCCACTCTGGACCTCCTCCCACCTGCCACCGACATCCTACCACTCTCACCGACATCCTTCCCACTCCACCAACCTCCTCCCCCACTCACCGACCTCCTCCCACTCACTGACCTACCCTGACTCACATGACCTACTCCTGGATTCACCGACATCCTCCCCACTCACTGACTCTCCCCATCCACTGGCATCCCATCTCTCACCGGCATCCCCACACTCACCGACCCTCCTCCCCACTCACCGACCTCCTTCCCACTCACCGATATCCTTCCCACTCACCGGCCCGCTTACCACTCACCAACCTCCTCCCCACTCCACCGACCTCCCTCCCACTCACCGACCTCCTCTCCACTCACCGACATCCTTCCCACTCACCGGCCTCCACCCCACCTCACCGACCTCTTCCCAACTCACACTGACATCCTCCTGACTCATACACTGGACATCCTTCCCCACTCCACCGGACCTCTTCCCACTCACGGACATCCTTCCCACTGACTGACCACCTCCTTCACCTCCCCGACCTCCTCCCACTTCACCGAGACCCTCTCCCCCACTTCACCGACCTCTTCCCCACTCTCACCGACCTTTCCCACTTGCTGACCTCTTCCCACTCCACCGACCTCCTCTTCCCCACTCACCGACATCCTGCTCCACTACCGACCCTTCCCACTTACTGACTGCTCTCAACTCACCGACCTCCCACCTCACCGACCTTCCCATTCTCACCGCCCTCCTTCCCACTCACCTCCCGACCTCTTCCCACTCACCGACATCTTCCCACCACTGACTCCTCCTTCCTCACTCACCGCCCGCTTCCCCACTTCTCCACCGACCTCTCCCCATTATCGACATCCTTCCCACTTCACCGACCTCTTCCTACTCACTGACTTTCCCACTTACTGACCGTTTCCCAACTCACCGACCTCTTCCTGACTCACCGACCTCTTCCCATCTCACCGACATCCTTCCGACTCACCGACCTCTTCCCACTTAACGACATCCTTCCCACTCACCGACCTCTTCCCCACTCACCGCCCTCTCCCCATTCACCGACATCCTTCCCACTCACCGACCTCTTCCCCACTCACCGCCCTCTCCCCATTCACCGACATCCTTCCCACTCACCGACCTCTTCCCCACTCACCGCCCTCTTCCTACTCACCGACCTCTTCCTACTCACCGACCTTTTCCCCACTCACCGCCCTCCTTCCTACTCCATTACCTCTCGTTATTTTTCCCTTAACGCTACTGATACCTCCCTCGTCCTCCTCACGCTTTTCCTCGTCTCACCTTTCAGTCTTCTCACACTTTCCTCTTCTTCTATTCCTTCACAGTGTACCCTTTCCTCACCTACCAGTCTTCCCCACATCCTCAGTTCTCTCTACGTTCCCTCATCTTCCTCTACGCCCTTCCTCGCTCCCTACCTCCGCCTCTTCTCAAGCTATCGCATCGTCATCTCCTCCCTTACCATCCGTTTTCTAGCCAGCCCAACATCATCCTCTCCACCATTCTTCCTCATCTCCCTCCTCTCTCTATTTTGCCTATCGTCATCTCCATCCCTCACCTCCCCCATCACCCCCAGCCAATACTGACCTGTTACGTCAATTTCACAGGGGATGGACTCGCCGATGGTATTGTTGACGTAGCAGTAGTAGGTTCCCAGCGAGGCCGCCGTCGCCGGTAGTCGTAGCCGAGACTCCAGGCCCTCCGACGTTACGTCCTGCGTCAGTGTCTCGTTCAACATCCGCCACCTGGGAGAGAGTGTCACGAAGGAGATTAGCAAGAGGTGGGGAAGGTGTAGAAGAGGATGAGGAGGTTGGGGGCGAGGGGGAGGTAGGAGAGGAGATAGGGGTAGGCGAAGGAGAGAGGGGGAAAACGAGGAGGAGGAGGAGGAGGAAAAAGAAGCTCAAGCGTAGAAGGAGGAGTAGAAGGATAAGTGAGAAGTTGCGATGTAAGAGTAAGGATGGAGAGAGAGAGAGAGAGGAGAGAGAGAGAGAGGGAGAGAGAGAGAGAGAGAGAGAGAGATCTCACCAAGGCTTCTACATTTCCTATTGTTATGAACATGAATCTTAGTTGAGTCTTGCCAATGTTATTTTTTTTTCAAGGGTGGAGGGTTGGAGGGTGGGGTTTTATTTCATTGTATAATAAATTTCAGAGAATGAGTAAAGGAAGTCAACGAGAGGCCAAGAACGGAAAAAGTTGAAGGATGTATGAGGTGAGCGTGGAGGTTGGCCGTGGCTTAAAGGAAAGGATGAAGTTTCGTTCTCTGATTTAATACACTAATATCGGGTGAACGATGTTAAAGAGACAAAACAGGGGTTCAATGAAGGGATTAGGGAAGTGTGGGTGATGATTTGGGAGGTAGAGCAGGCGATGATGAGAGACAAAACAGGGATTAAATAGAGAGAGAGAGAGAGAGAGAGAGAGAGAGAGAGAGAGAGAGAGAGAGAGAGAGAGAGAGAGAGAGAGAGAGAGAGAGAGATAAAACGTGGGTAATGAAAAAATGTGAATGACAAATGGGGGATAAGCGATATCAGAAGTTAAACAGAGTCCCTTGGGATTTACAACGACGAGAGAACGAAGCAAAATTGATTAAAAGGAAGAAGAAGGAGAATTTGATGACTGAGGGAGATAGTCAAGAAAAGAGAATAAGATAGGCGTGAATTGGTTAATAACTAAAGTTAGGAAAAATTGGGGAAGCATATCTCGAGAAGAAGGGGGAGAAAGAAGAGGATGGGGGAGGGAGAAGAGGAAGAAGGAGGGGAAAAGAAAGAAAAGGGAAAGGGGAAGAGAGGGAAGGGGAAAGAGAGGAAAGGGAGGAAGAGGGAAGGAGGAAAGGAGAGGGTAAAAGAAGGAAGGAGAGGGAGAAGAGAAGGAAGGAGGGGTGAAGAAAGAAAAGGGGAAAGGGGGAAGAGAGGAAGGGGAAAGAGAGGAAAGGGAGGGAGAGGGAAGGGAGGAAAGGAGAGGGTAAAAAAGAAGGAAGGGAGGGAGAAGAGAGGAAGCAGAAGGGGAAGAGAGGGAAGGGGAGGGAGAAGGAAGAGGACGGGGAGGGGAGAAAAGAGGGAAGGGGGAGAAGAGAGGGAAGAGGAGGGAAGAAGGGTGACAGGGAGAGGAGGGAAGAGGTAGGGGGAAGTGGGAGAAGGGAGGGAAGGGGATGGGAGAAGAGAAGAAAGGGGAAGGAAAAAGGAAGAGGACAGGGAGAGAGGGAAATAGGGAAGGGGGAAGAGAGGGGACAATATAAGAGGGAGGGGAGAAGAGAGGAAAGGAGGGAAAGGAAGGTAGAAGAGCGGGGAAGGGAGAGAGGAGGGGAGAAGAGCAGGAAGGGGAGATGGAGGGGAGAAGGGTGGGAGGAGAGAAGAGAGGGAAGAAAGGGAGGGGGAGGGGTGGGGAGAAGGTGTTCGACTGAGTGGAGAGAGGAGGGGCAGGATATGCAAATGTTTTAGGAAAGCAACGGAAGGCTGGGAGCTCGAGGAAAGGAAGGGAGGATAAAAGAAAGGAATAAACGAAGGAAGAAATGGACGAAGGAAGAAAGGTGAATGAATGGAGGAAAGAAAGACAGTAAGTTAGGGAGGCATTGGCGAAAGTGACAAAGACACGAAAGGGAGGAAGGGAGGGAAAGGAGAGAGAGAAGATATAAGGAGATGTATCAGGGAGGACCAGGCAGGATGAGGATGAGAGGGAAGAAGAAAGTGAGAGGTGAGGAAGGAATCGGTAAGAGAGAGAGAGAGAGAGAGAGAGAGAGAGAGAGAGAGAGAGAGAGAGAGGGGGGAGGGGAAAGAAGAAGAAAAAGAAAATCTATTCCAGAAAATAACAAGAAGGATCAACGGTATAGTTTGAGAGGAGAAGGAGAAGTAGGGAATAGAAGAAGGAGGAGGAAAGAGGAGAAGGAGGAAAAGGGAAGAGGAAGGGGAAGAAGAAGAAGAAGAAGAAGAAGAAGAAGAAGAAGAAGAAGAAGAAGAAGAAGAAGAAGAAGAAGAAGAAGAAGAAGAAGAAGAAGAAGAAGAAGAAGAAACAAGAAGAAGAAGAAAATATAAAAAAGAAGTTAAATAGATAGAAGAAGAAGAAGAAGAAGTTAAAAGAAGAAGAAGAAGAAAAGAAGAAGAAGAAGAAGAAATAAAGAAGAAGAAAAGTTGAAGAAGAAGAAGAAGAAGAAGAAGAAGAAGAAGGAAGAAGAAGATAAATAAAAGAATTAAAATAATAAAAATAGTTAGTTAAAGTTAAAGAATAGTTAAATAAAGAAGTTAAATAAATAAATAAATAAAATTAATAAATAAAATAAATAAATAAATAAATAAATAAATAATAAATAAATAAAAATTAAATAATAAAATAAATAAATAAAGAAAAAATATTAAAAAATAAATAAAATAAAAAAAATAAATAAAGAAAAAATAAATAAATAAAAAAATAAATAAAGATAGTTAAATAAATAGTAAAATAAATAAATAAATAAATAAATAATAAATAAATAGATAGAATAAATAAAGAAATAAATAAAATAATAAATAGCTGAATGAAGAAGAAATAAATAAATAAATAATAATAGAAAAAATAAATAAATAAATAAATAAATAAAATAAATAAATAGAAAAAAAATAAAAATAAATAGCTAAGAAAATAAAATAGTTAAATAAAAAGCCAATAAATAAAGAAGAAGAAGAAGAAGAAGAAGAAGAAGAAGAAGAAGAAGAAGAAGAAGAAGAAGAAGAAGAAGAAGAAGAAGAAGAAGAAGAAGAAGAAGAAGAAGAAGAAGAGAAGAGGAGAACGAGAAGAGAAGAGAAGGAAGAGGAGAGGAGGGGATGAGGAAATAGAGGAGAAAGACGGGGAGGAAGAAGAGGAGGAGAAGGAGAATGCGTTTCACCTTTGAAGTGGAGAACGGGGCGGCAAGCTTGTAGGTGAACGCTTTTGTGTCTAGTCTAACAAAGGCGACGGGGTTTAGAGGCCCCACAATCCATAATGAAACGTGGCAGCCTAGCGCCCTAGAGTATATCAGCAAGTCAATCTTCACCACTCAACCTGACGTATTTTCACCCTCCCCTTTGCCAAAATTTACCCGAAAATGCAGTGTGAAGCGTCGGCGTCGTGGGTTATGTATATTTAATCCACTATTATGAATACATTCAATTAATTCTCACGTTAATTGTGTATTCATCCACGTAATAGTTGAGATGTATTTCTTCAAACAGTTTTTTTCTCATTGTTACTATCCTGGTTTATTCTCAATTTCTATTATTTTTTGCTTACGAATATATCTTCCCTCTTTCTCTTTCATCCTCTCATTTTATATCAAGCGTCAATCAAGATGTTCCTCAACATTCAACATTAATACGGAAAATGACGTCAAAAGGCCACCCGTGACTAATTATTCCTCAGGTCACTCCACCTTGAACTTTCCACTCTTTCAGCAACGTCATCACTCTGGTCTTGCATGTCAATAATGATACAATTTAATGAAGTTTTCACTTTTTCTATATTTGCTTCACCATATTTATTGTCTTGGAAATTTATGAATACATTGTCCATCTGCATTTAAGTTTCACATACGAAAGTCAGGTGTACTGAAAAACTGCCAATGTTTTATTTATTTCTTACCTATAACGTATCTATCGAAGCTCCCTCCCTGCTACCATTTAGGACATGAACTGTGTTATATTCTTTGCAATTTGCCCTTTCAACAACGAAGCAGTTATTGCCTGTATGTAGTCGTTTAATGCCGGACTCCATTGTTCAGTTATACAAACGTTACAAAAGACAACAACGATGTATTGCCTCATGTTATCCATCTCTCCTTGGGTTTGTACTCGACTTCACTTTACATAAAATATCTCCGATCGCGTGAAGAATACTCCCCAACTTATTTCACTAAAGATCAACCAAGCTAATGCTAACATAACCTCACATTACCGGACATAACCTGACATAACCTAACCTAGCTTAATCTAACCAAACCATTATGATGTTTAATTACCAGGTATAATCAGGTGAAATAAGCATGGGTTCAATCTACAGGAGGCGCCATTTCTCTAATATGCGTGCTCGTGATCACCTTCACACACTATTACCTATACTCTGTCTAACACACCGCAGAACGTGTGTCACCTCTGTCTATGAAGGTGTTTAGACAGCAACATTAAAACTATAATCAGGTTATTTGCTCTTAGAGGCACTTTGAGCCCCATTAAGTACATTTTCAGAATTTCTTTTCAGTTTCTTTCAACTTCGTTTATAATCCATCGTGTAACGTTCACTAAATTGCTTTTCTAAGGTCTGATTTACTTTGTTTTACATTTTTTTCTAATAGTCATATACGTTCTCGTTTTTTTTTTTACTGTAGGGCCTATATTAAACTTGTTATGAAAACGATGTCAAGAGAAGGCCATTAATACTGGTAAAACTATAGTGTACACAGGTCACCGCAGTCCTGCCCACGCTTCACGACACGTTCCAGTTAACAAATACCATCAAAGGTAACTTGAACCCACAAGGTATTCAGGAAATGTACCTGTTGTAAGCCTCTACATTAACCGTTTCATCAAAATTGTGGCGTAACATTAAACAAATATTACTTACTTCAAAAAATTAATAAATGAATAAATGCGTCATGTGTGTTTCTGTGATCAACAAAAGCCCCTTCCCTCAGTTGACACCCAGGTATGACCCACCTGAAGACCACCTCCTCTGGGTTGGCTGCTGCACGACAAATGAGCAGGATGTGGGCGTCCTCTCCGCTTCCTCCGTCCTGGCGGTCGATCTTACACTCCGGCTTGACTGTCGTGATACAAACACACGAGACCATTATATTCATAAGCCATCGTGAAAATGTTAAAGGATTCTATCTACAGTGCTGATTGAGTTGTCAACATTTGCAAGGATTGATGAGTCTTCCTCAATAAAAGACCGTGATAAAACAAGCTTCAGATGTTTCAATAACCGTTTGCTCATGTTCTAAATATTTTATTAAACACAAAATTAACTGATTTTAATTCAGACGTTAAAGACCGGTACGCTTGCTTGTTTTGTAATAACAAAGTTAAATAAGCATCAATGATAATATTTACATTGGATCAAAGTTTTAATTCATGATTTTATTATTTTATCTCTCAAATAGGACATCATAACTTATATATAACTAGTTAGTATTAACTCACACAAGATGTCGAAGGTGGTGGTGGAGGTCATCTTGCCGTGGCGGTTCTGGGCGATACACTCGTAGTCGCCAGCACGGTGCCTCTCGATGGGGTGATCCAGGTTTAGCACGGCGCCCTTAGCCACGGTGTGCTCGCCGTGCAGCCATACATATGTAGCCTCGGGGTAGCTGGAGGCACGACACTCTATCTTCGGAGGCACTTCACCCTCCACTACTTGTATGTAGGAGTCAGACACCAAGATCTCCTCCGGTGGGTCTGTGGCGGAGACGAGACCATCAGCCAGGGTATACATTACCTTATTGTTGATTAAATCACAATGTTTGGTACAGAAGTTTAAGCTCAAAATGTGTGACAAACTTCAACCAAAAAAGTTCCAATTACAAGACAACTTCTCCTAATTGCCTCCCCTTCCCTTGCCTGCTTCCCCTCCCCCTGTCTGCTTTCCACTCCCCCAGCCTACTTCCCACCACCCTGTCTGCTTCCCTTCCCCCTAACTGCTCCCCCTCCCACTACCTGCTTCCCCTACCCTGCCTGCTTTCCCTCCCCTTGCCTGCTTCCCCCTTCTTGCTTCTCCTCTCCCTGCTTGCTTCTGAAATTTGATCTTGACTAATGTTCTCAACTCTGAACTGTTACCACATATTTTTAATCAGTTATTACCTGGTTAACATCTGACCTTTTTACGAAGTTTCATACAAAACTGGTCCTTCAGTTTATATTGCATGTAATTAGATTGTTTACACACAAATTAAGCTTAATGAATAAATCCTCAATCATTTAGTGGGACATTTCCAAGCCTTTTGACTAACACCAGCAAACTTACAGTAGCACGGCCACATACTACATAGCTTTCCTCGCATTCTATTAAATCAAGCTACAGTTTATCCAGAATCCATCGACCAACTAATACAATTAACTCTGATTACAACGTCATCTTCAAGGAAAAGGTAGACTTAATATAAAAAAAAAACGCTCGTGTGAAAGAGGCCTACTGTAAGGCTATATCCCACGTGTGAGCATCCTGTGGCATCGAGCGACCAAGGCGTAGACGCGCGACCTACATTCCAAAGCGACCTGTGTCCTACCTGCCTGCGTCTTGCCAGCATAAACATGACGTCTACGCATCACAGACGTTGGCTGATAGTTTTAGATAATAATGAATTTTTCCAATGTATGGTACGTGCAGAGGTACCCAGGAAAAAAATATCCCATATACCAGAGGAGGATGGAAGTAGCGCTGCGTAGACGGCATGTTTACGCTGACAAGACGCTGGCAGGTGGGACACAGGTCTCTTTAGAAAGTAGGTAGCGCATCTACGCCATGGTCGCCCGATGCCGCAGAATGCTCACACATGGGACATAGCCTTGGGTTATGAATTGCGTATGAGTCTGTGTCCAGACCCTCTGTGTCAATGATGATATTATGGAAAAAGTGTAGCACACTTTACAATGTCAACAGCAGTATCTACCTTTGTTTCAATAACTATATTTAAAATTCTCCATTTACTTGTACAAATTCCAAATACAAACTCTACAACACGCCTTGCACGTGACAAACTGTAATGATAAATTATTTTTTCTTTGTTCAGAGCATTCCTAGGATAGGGTTTCAACAAATATACACAGCGTGGGTAGGCCTCGTCCACAATCAGAATACATTCTGGGGTGCTCGTGAAAATTCTTTGGATCGTGGCGAAGTTCCTTGTAGAGATGGTGAAAGTCGCGTACTTCCATCTTCCTCTGTGATGCGTAGACGGCATGCTTACGCTGGCAAGACGTTGGCAAGTGGGACACAGATTGCTGTGGAAAGTATGTCAAGCGTCTACGCCCTGGTCGCTCGATGCCGCAGGATGCTCGCACATGGGACATAGCCTAAGTCATCGTAATGAAGAGGTTAAGGCAGATAACTTAATGGGTTAATTAACTATACTCACACTCAACCCTGAAGTAGGTGTGAGAGGTGACCCCGGGCCCGGCCATGTTGGAGGTGGAGGTGCAAGTGTAGTTGGCGTTGTCTTGGACCCTGTCCAGCACACCGTTAGGCCAGCGGTCCATTTGCCACGTCAGCACCGACATGGCGCTCTGCAGGTCCCTGTAGGAGAACACACACACTCTTAGATGACTCATTGAGTGGCAAGATACACTAACTGAACCTTAGGTGTTGGTTGTAACACACACATCTGTACCACCCTGGCATGGAAACATGTGTTACCCACCCTGGCAAGTGGACATGTCTATCCCCCTTGGGTTAACACGTGTACTGCCTCTATAAGTAGACAAATGTGTACCGTTCTGTCAGACAAAACACAGGTGTACCATACTGCCAGACACAAGGCAGTAGGTAAAGGCAGAAGGTCACGTAATAACTTAAACAAATAATAGTTTACGTATCCTACAGTAAACACGTGAACACTTACGGACTGAAAGTCTGTGTACATACAATACAATGAACACAAAGCCTTGGATACACAATAATGAAGTGAGGACGGCACTGAACTTGACCTCCTTTACTTCTCCAATTGTAAAGTTAGGTACTCAGTCACAGCTGGGTGGGCTGGAGGTGCCTTGGACGCGAACCAACGACCTTAGGACAAGAGACGAGCGCTGTATCCACTCAGCCACCGCGCCCAAATAGCTATTAATATATGGTAAAACCTGATCTCGTTCAGTTCCAGTAATTCACTTTATTTCTACACACGTTTCAGAAAATTAAATTTTTATAATATAAAGCTCATAGAAGCAGTGTGTAAACATATCATGGGCGGCTCTGGAAGTATTTCAAAATAATTAGTTTCACACAAAACCCATGGAAAAATACTATATTCGGACACACATATGTAATGAAGAGAAAAAAAAGACAAGAAGACATTACACATATTGTGTCAAACATGGACAGTGCGAAAGGGTCAGCAGCAGCACCTACCCGGAGGAGGGATCAGGGGGCATTCGGCTGGTGCTAACTTTGTAGTGGGTGTCGTTGAGCAGCATGAGGTCGTCCTTGAACCATTCGACGGAGCAGAAGGGCGAGCACTCCACCCGACAGGAGAGCGACACCTCCGCCGAGTTCATGAGTGCTCCGTGGTAAGGTGGGAGGCGGTCGATGAACACGGGTGCAGCTGTAGCAAGGGGGAGAGCAATGCACAATTAATCACAGCTAGCTACTTTGTTCATTTATGCCCTGCAAATCGTCAATGTTCCAAGGTACACCCATCTAATTGCTAGTGTTCCAAGGTACACCCACCTAATCGCTAGTGTTCCAAGGTACACCCACCTAATCGCTAGTGTTCCAAGGTACACCCACCTAATCGCTATTGTTCCAAGGTACACCCACCTAATCGCTAGTGTTCCAAGGTACACCCACCTAATCGCTATTATTCCAAGGTACACCCACCTAATCGCTAGTGTTCCAAGGTACACCCACCTAATCGCTAGTGTGTTCCAAGGTACACCCACCTAATCGCTATTGTTCCAAGGTACACCCACCTAATCGCTCGTGTTCCAAGGTACACCCACCTAATCGCTAGAACAAATACAGTAAACCCACTTAAACGACAGTGTTCTACCGTACAACTGCACCCAGGCAATCCCTAGTGTTTTACTATACAGTATACTCTTGTTTTATGACCCAGTAGGTAATTACAGATGGTTCTTCTAGTGAGGGCTGTTCTTGTGAAATGTTTACGAGGGAGGCCATGCTAATTAGGGGAGAGCAAAATGAAATATGAAGCTTCGACGAACAATGTGACTTGTGATAATTACACCTAGGACAGGTAATTACCAGTATTTTTCAGGGACGGTTAATTACAGGTTAAGTCTAGGATCTTAATAAGCTAATTACGGGGTTATAAAGAATGAAATTGCCTGTCTTCATCAACAATTATAATTCAGTGAACACTAAAGGCGCTGAGTAAGGTATGAGATTAGAGGAAATTAAAATTAACTGTATTATTCTCTTGCAAACTGTTTCTCTCACGTTTAGTCAGAATCAAGACCAACATGCAGGCTTTCTCGTCATTCAATCTCTCTCTAACTGCTATGTTCTACTATAGTGTTCTCCTTCCTAAAGGTGACCACAAAATCTCCATCTGATTCACCACCACCGTCACCACCACCACCACCACCATACCCATAAACCACACTAACACATGCTCTCCCACCTAGCACGCACACAGCTGCTTCCTCGATGCACATTCTCTTCCTAGCCAGTACCTTATTCAACCTACCTATCCTTCCCACTTCCTTCTTGGCCTTCCCTTTTCATCCTACACGTCATTTTTCCAACCTCTTGTTATTTATGATCTCTATATACCCACACCATCCGAGCTAACCTTCTAACCCTAATTGATCCATTGTCTGATGATCCTTTCATTTTCAAATCTTCCCGTTCCTCTTATTTGTAAGCCACACTATTCTTCATCTATCACACACTCCTTCGTACGAGCCACAATATTCTCGATGATAACTGCCATGTATCTTCCTAGTTACAATTAACAAACTTATTCTTCAACAGATTTTACAATCAGTTCTTATAACCTTTCCCTGATCACCTAAAAATTAGTCACCCCAGACTATTTCACCTGAAGATTAACCACCCTAACACTAAACTTAACCTACCCCCCCCCCAGGTATTGTCAATGTGGCTAATCTTCAAGTAAGAGGGGGTGTCTTAGCTTCAGTTGATATCGTTTCCCTTTATGCAAGGGTATTATTCCCCTTGGCATACATGACCCATAAATTCTTGTCTGGTATTTCAGCACCTTTTCACCCTCTTTCTGTATCATTTTTCCGACGTTTCCATCTACAACTGATGCCTAACATTCCCAAATTGCTTACAGCCTGTTTCACCTCTTCCCGTTTAACCCCCTTTCTATCGGTTTTACACTTTTTGCTCCTCCCCGTTCCAAAAAAGACAACCTGTCTCTCCTTCACCTGTTATATTCAGCATTTGGTCAAATTATTCTCCCAATCTTTTTCTCGCTTCCTCTTTTTCCCCACATGCTTCCTCTCGGCTTCCTCGTCCTATTCACTTCCTCCCAATATAACGTTCTGTCATATATATATATATATATATATATATATATATATATATATATATATATATATATATATATATATATATATATATATATATATATATATATATATATATATATATATATATATATGGTTTGTGTGTGTGTGTGCGTTAAATGAATGACAGAAAATATGCCGATACTACCAAAGTAAAGGTTTTTAATCTTTACAACGTTAATAGACGGAAAATCATTACACACACACACACACACACACACACACACACACACACACACACACACACACACACACACACTGTAGTTTGAGCTTTTCCCCATCTAGTTATTATATATCTTATTTGTATCACTTATGTTACTTGTATATTATTTGTAATTCGTAACCCATTCCCCAAATATGTAACTGTATATTTTCAGCCTTCTGGCTGCCAAGCTCTTTCAATAAACCGTTAATTATTATTATTATTAAAACACACACATCAATGAATACTCACCCAGAACTTCAATCTTAGCTGTAGCTCTCTCTCCTTCTCCCTCAATGTTGACTGGGACGCAGGTGAAGTTATCTTCGGTCTCGAGAGACACGGGGTTGATAGTCCAGGTGGCCGTAGTTTCATCAGGCACCAGGTGGGACCCGCGGTACCATCTGAAGGTGGTGGCGGCGGGTCGGCCTGCGTCCTCCACGTTGCATGTCAACTCCAGGGAGAGACCCTGATGAAGGAAGGAAAAATTGTGTATAGCAATTGTGTATAAAAGTAAGAATTTTCGAGATGAACTTCTCAGTACAGATGATGTTTTGTGACTCTACAGTAGAGTAACTGTAGAATGTTAAGAACATCAATACTGATTTATTGGCCTCTTGATTAAGAAAAAAAAAAGATGTATCACACGAGAATCCCTCTACTTTTCCAGTAACCACCTGTCAGCCATTTTATAATCTATAATCTCTTTAAGTGAAACCTGGTTCGATACACATTTTAAAACTAAAAGAATTTATTGAAACAAATAAAAAAAAAAGACCTAGAATTTGGGTAAAGAAAATGAGAGAACTTGTGAATGTTACTCAGTGGGAACTGAATTAGTCGTAACGCTACTGATAAAATACAGTTTACCATATATATATATATATATATATATATATATATATATATATATATATATATATATATATATATATATATATGATCTAGGTGGTATATATATATATATATATATATATATATATATATATATATATATATATATATATATATATATATATATATATATATATATATATATATACTGGATCGCCCCAAAAGGCGAAGCAGATAAGATATTTCAAATTTTGAGAAAAAAAGTTATGCAGATATTTTAGGTTGAAAGTTAACATTAAAATTTATAGTAAAGTCCCCTGCATGACCCCAGAATCGAAACCAAGTCTCAATCTCAATAAACAGAAACTTAAGTGGAAACAGGCAAATGTAGTACCCATATTGAGAAGGGGAGACAGAGCATCAGCGTCAAATTACCGGCCGATCAGTTTGACGTCAGTAGTGGGGAAATTTCTTGAAGCAATTATAGCAGATAGCATCCGATCGCATTTAGAGAAAAGCAAATTAATCTACGACTCTCAACATGGGTTTACAAAGGGGAAATCTTGTCTAACAAATCTACTGACGTTTTTTAGGAAAGTTTTCGAGGTAGTAGATAACGACGAAAACTACGATGTTATTTACTTAGACTTTAGCAAAGCATTTGACAGAGTACCGCACCAGAGGCTTCTGAGAAAAGTTAAGGCTCATGGTATCGAGGGGAAAGTTTTAAATTGGATAAAATCTTGGCTCACCGATAGAACGCAGAGGGCCAGCGTAGATGGTGTTAAATCTGAGTGGGGCTGTGTAACCAGTGGGGTTCCCCAGGGGTCAGTATTAGGCTCACTCTTGTTCATAATTTACATAAACGATCTAGATACTGGGATCAGCAGTGACATAAACAAGTTTGCGGATGACACCAAAATAGGGCGGCAAATTAATTCAGGGCAGGATGCAAATGCATTACAGGAGGATCTAAATAAACTGCAGGGGTGGCCTGAAAAATGGCAAATGAAATTCAACACCAGCAAGTGCAGCGTACTTAATATTGGAAGAACAAATACTTATAATGTATACAGCCTGAGCAACATCAACCTAGAGAAGTCGACTTGTGAAAGAGACTTAGGGGTACTTGTAAGCCCGGACCTACGGCTTAGAAAACAGTGCGTTAATGTTCGAAATAAGGCAAACAGAGTATTAGGTTTTATATCTAGAAGTGTAAGTAATAAGAGTGCAGAGGTCTTATTGCAACTATATCTTGCGCTAGTCAGGCCGCACATTGATTATGCGGTTCAGTTCTGGTGCCCTTATTATAGAATGGATATCAATTCACTGGAGTCGGTGTAGCGAAGAATGACGAAAATGATTCCGGGACTTAGAAACCTTCCATATCAAGATAGGTTAAAGATACTAAACTTGCATTCCCCAGAAAGACGACGAGTGCGGGGACATATGATAGAAGTATTTAAGTGGATGAAAGGAATCAATAAAGGGGATATAGATAAAGTTCTTATAATATCCGAGCAGGATAGGACTAGTAGCAACGGATTTAAGTTGGATAAGTTTAGATTTAGGAGGGAGATAGGAAGGAACTGGTTCACAAATAGGGTGGTGGACGAGTGGAACAAGCTTAGCAACTTTGTAGTAAGTGCTGGAACTCTGGTAAGTTTTAATAGGAGGCTAGATAGATTCATGGATGATGGAGAGTGGTAGTAACTCTCGCCAGGAGCTGCCATGCACAGGCCAACCGGCCTATTGCAGACTCCTTATTTCTTATGTTCTTATGTTCTTAAGTTAAAAGAACACGTTTGACAGACCTTAACAACCATTGGTGGCTCGTAGGAAATGGAGGCCTGGCCGGGAGGATAGTGGACGATCAACTCGGCCTCGTTTGACCTGGTGCCCCAGCCAGCATCGTTCATGCCCTCACACGAGTAGTTTCCATGGAAGTCTTTGAAGACGTTTTCAAGGAGTAGCTTGGAGGGATCAATGTTACAAAGCTCCGAGTTGGTGTCATACATGGTCGAGTTGCCGTCACACTCCGGTAGTTCCTAGTGAAGGAGAGGCACACGTGAATGATAAATGAGAATGAATAGAAAGATGAAGAGGCTAAGAGTAACAAGTACTGCTGGGATAAATATAATCAAAAGTGTAATGTTCTCATCAAAATATAAAGTTCACTGCGTTATAAAATAAATATGTACACAATTATACCAATAAGAACACAATATTACAAATAAAAACACTACATAACATCATAATTACATTCTTGGTGGATAAGACACATTGTAAGACCTAACATATAGCCAAGTCCCTCCCACGAGACGGCACACACTCACCTTCAGTAGCTCACCGTCCAGGTACCAGCGGACGCGCACCAAGTACTCTGGGTTGGCTCGCACCACGTCACAGTTAAGAGTGACATTAACTCGGTCCTCCTCGGACACAGGTTCCATCGGGTCCATCACCACCTGCACCAGCGGCCGGTCTGTGCAAGAGGAGGGTAGTGTTAGTGTCTAGATCGGCGCTTTTGCAATACTTTAAAAATATAAGAACATATGAACGTAAGAAATGGAGGAAACTGCAGAGGGCCTATTGGCCCATACTGGGCAGTCCCGTCGTTCATATATCCATCCAACCTATGTTTGAAGCTATCCAGCTAATTTAAAACCAGTGTCACGAGTTCGCTCCTGGTTGGATAGTTTGAGTACCTTTATTATATCACATTTGTTTAGCCTTGACTTACATTTTATACACCTCGATCGTATCGCTCATCACTCTACGTCTCTCGAGGGAGTGCAAGTTAGGATGCTTTAACCTGTCTCTGTCCTCAAGGTTCCTAATGCCCGGGAATAGTCTAGTCTAATCATTCCCCTCTGAATTCTTTCTAGGGTTTCCATATCCATTCTGTAGTAAGATGACCAGAACTGAACTGCGTATCCAAATGAGGTCTCACAAGCGCAATATATAGTTTTCGGATAATCTCGCTAGTCTTGTAACTAACACTCCTTTGTATGAACCCATTTTTTATTGATATCCAAAATAAGCATCACCCTTCATTCTGGTATTGGCTTGTGATTCATTGGACACAAAAGCCTACGATCTCATGAGTTCTGAGTCAAAATGATCACCCACTTGTCCCTCAACAGCCAAGTCGATCTGAGGACGAATGATACAGCTGCTAGGAGATTAATGTTTTGCCTAGCAGTCTCTCCACATACACGCGCACACACACACACACACACACACACATTATATATATATATATATATATATATATATATATATATATATATATATATATATATATATATATATATATATATATATATATATATATATATATATATATATATATATATATATATATATATATATATATATATATATATATATATATATATATATATATATATATATATATATATATATATATATCATCAGTCCATAAAGCAAGCGAACTTCCATACACAAACAATACCTCACTAGTCGGGAATCGAACCTTGGACTCTACGTGTGAACAGGGTGGCAGGGTGTGTGTGTGTGTGTGTAGCCTACAGTACAGTACATGCAGAGTAGGCAAAATGTCATTATAGGAAATAATAAACTTAATGGTACGACTTGGCAACTCGATGGACGTAACTGAATTCTTATTTCGGTTGTTCAGAATCTTCATTGTACTGTAGGATGAATTCAAAAAGGTTGTAACAGATGTCTCCTAATCACGAGCAGATATAATCATATTCATAAAACACCAAAATTAACCTGACAAGAAAAAAATAACTTTTATGTCGCCATCCTCTTTGCTCGATCAATTAAGGTGATGACATCTGATTGTGTAGGCCGTTGTGGGCCTGCTCCGTGACAGTTATGTAATGGTATATACAGTATACGTTGATAGTGAAATTTCGTCTCTATAGTTCTTGGTGTATCACGATACGGAAGGGAAAAAAGTATTTCTTTAATAAGATTGTACAATACAGTTTATGAACGTAAAAATTATTAGTAAATGTTTTGTTATAATAATTTAAGTCTTGAAAATTGCTCTTGAAGCAGCGCTTGGCAACTAAACTTTGTATCCTGCCGTATGTAATAGATACCAATCAATATTTATATTTTCTTAGTTTATAACAAATCTAACTACTAATTAAGATAAATCAAGTAAATTTGGTAAAACAAAATATATGTTATTTTCCATAATGTACTTTTAATAAGCTACGGTGCAACAACCCGATTGATATAATTATAATTTCGATAAACTGGAAGTATCTGTCATCTTGTAATTACGTTGTAGTCCATAAGATCCTTAAAATGAAAGCACCACTGAGTTGCCTTTTTTACGCAAACTCCTCTTGCCAGCTCTAGTACTGATTTTTATTTTATTGATTTCTGTATTCTTCGTATGGAATAAAAGTCCATTTTTATTCATTTATTTGATAGCTACATTATCTGGCATGATGATGATACATTAACGATATAATTTTTGCTAAACTTCAGTTAAAAATCAAATAGATAATGAAGTGCTCTAGGTTGACTAAAAGTTGCTTCCACTAGGCGTACTGTTAAATCACCAATCCCAAACGACACGTCTGTAGGCGGTGCTTATTTTGGATATCAATAAAAAATAAACTATAGTGTTGGTTCTTCAGTGCTTCCATGGTCAACTTGATACATATATGGCTCTCCGATAATCCTAAAGGTATCCACTTGACGCTTTATTAGTGTTCACAATGTTTACTTGAGGTATATATAAATGAAAAAAAAAAGGTAAAGAACATTTTATAGAGCATATTGTAGTTTCTATCAGCCGTTCAGGAAGTAAGAATCATCATGTCTGCTGTACCTGTAGTCTTTTCAACGAGACACCTCCACTACCACTATCCCCACATCACAACCATCTCAACAACCACCACCCCCACCACACACCATAATGCGTGAAGTCAAGAATCATATGTTCCTAATTTGAAAAGAATAATTATATCATATATTCCAGAAACGATGAGTCCTGTAGATCTGTCAATTGCACATCATGATGTGACATCAGATGTGACCACATCGAGCTGTTGACCAGACACGAATATGAGATATGACATAAATATACTGTACAGTACACACAAAAATAAGTTGAAAATAAATGGGATAAAACCATACTTTATCTCCCTCCACGCTTTACCTAACAACGGATAATTATATTGACTGACTTTAACAACGCGTAAATGTGGACATATTGTATATTTCCAGCAATTTAGCCAAAGGAAAAATTGCCTCGTTATTCAGGTGGGACACCATTACTGTACATACAGTACATTACCTAATGTGATGATGATATAATATGTTAATCCTGGCGCTTATGTAGTGATGATTAAACAAAGCAAAAATCTACTTTAGCTAAAACTTTTATCATGCTTCATTTTTATGCAATGGATGTTAGCTATTTATTGCATTACAAAGTACTGAAATTACTGACCCATTACTGCAAGAATACCAAACAAACAAAAATCGAGCAAGTTTAAGCATTAAGATATTGTAGCTCTTAAATATTGCTAGTTGTGACCATCGAAGTCGGTCTAGCACAGGCAGCGACTTACACTGCACGCTGACAAAGGCGTTGTTTGTGACTTCGGAGGCGCCGACAGAGTTGGAGACCCGGCAGGTGTACTCGCCCATGTCTGCCGCCGAGCTGTTCTTGATGAGGAGAGACGGGTGGTCCACGTTACCGTTGCCGTACTTCTCTGAGGACCCCGCCACGTTCACCTGCCGACCGTCCTGGTACCTGGGGGAGGGGAACACAGTGAATACTTCTCCCACTGCCTTTAAAATTAATTATCTTCGAGCTGAAGAAGTTAGTAGCTTTCGTAGTCTAAACAGGTATTTTCTTCTAGTGATTTTCTTTTAATGGAGTGTTAGATAGCGTCCCCGCACAGGCTTTCTGTCTCTCTTCCTATTCCACGTTTTCCGTGATCCTTCTTTAAAATGAGGTAGGCATTTGTTTCCCGGAGTTAAAACACTTCGTACACCATAGGCGACCAGTCTTCATACTCTAAAAGGATTCAGTTTCAAAACAGATCGTTGGTGATGACGCAACTGGTCGACTTCCTCCCCAAGACAAACACTTTCCCTGACAAGGGTGATTTAAATTGTCAAAAGCTTTTTCTTTTTCATGTGAATGTGACATTCAACACCATAAACAGGACAAGGCGATGCGGCATAACATACACACACCGTGAAATCTTTCTCTTGCGTAAAATGCTTGAGGCATGAATCCGCACCAAGACCAGTTTTCAGGTTTGTGTGTTATCGTAACATGCCATAACTTTCCGAGAACAATAACATTACTTAGATATGTATAAAATGTAAAAAATAATGTTATATAATGATATAAAAGCCCGACAGAATAGTTATATATTAAAAATTAAAATTATATATTTCATGGTGGAATTTATAAAGGTGATGTTATATTAGATGTGAGGTGTAATCCTTTCTTATTCGCGATACACATCTTTACTTTCGACGTTCACTCTACACAGACGCGCTGGTGGTCTGGGTACATCGCCTTATTTACATTTACGGGGACAAAGTTTGAACCTATCTGCTCGAGTTGAATTACTCTCCTCGGGAACTGGTAAAGAGGAGATCACTGCCACTGGGTATAGTCACTGTCACTCGGTGTCACTGTCACACATGGTCAGTGACATCCAGGGTCATTACTAATGGGGGTCACTGTCACATAGTCACTGTCACACAAAATTACAGTGTCCCAGGATTAATATTTTCATTCAGAGTACCCATAAAAGGTTAACATCAAAGGAAAACTGGACAGCGTTACTAAAAGAGTATAATAGAAAAGGTAAACTTCACTAATTTACAGACTTTTTTCTCAAACTAGACAGGTACGACCAGTTCACTTAATTCACTCCAGCACTAAATCTGATTTCCCCGGACCAGTTTGCGCATCACCTTCGGGACTAAAACTGTGGATCACATCAGCTTTGTCTAAGGAAAGTTAGTTTGGTCCACTGTCTGACAGGCTGAGGGACGACACTCAAGCCCCGGGATCCGTGATAACTTTGGTCCAGGGATCACCTGGTGTTTGTGTACCCCTCCTGCCTCCCCTGAATGTAATTTACATCAGTTATTCAGCGTTAGTCTTTTAACAATTTAATAGGGTGGAAGGTTGCACCATGCCTGGAAGGTTCCAACACCTCTCTTATTATTCATCAGTAGATCAAGGTCCGTATACTTCCACTCGTAATTGTGATCTTCGAATTATGTTGTTAAAACATTTTTTTGTTTTTTTTTGGGGTAAGAACATGGTGTATTACATAAAGATATTTATAAATTATTTTATAAAATAATTTATGATCATTATTAATTTTCTATCCATCTCTATTTTTATACTACATTATATGTAAAATAAGTAATGAGAGTGTGACTTACCAGTAGACGTAGGAGAGCTTGGCAGGGTTGGCGCTGTACTGGCAGAAGATGAGTACGTCCATTGACTCGTTCACAGTGACGTTCTCTGGGCTGACCCTCACGATGGGGGCGTCTGGGGGCAACATAAACCTCTTCACCAAATGTTACAGTCATAACAAGAGTACAAGATACATCCTCACCACCATGTGTCACCAAGTTTTACAGTTTTAAGAAGAACACTTATTTTACCCGACAAATCCTCGCCAGTCCTCAATTTTGTTACGTCATCATCAACCATGGTTTAGCACCCTAAAACAATTTCTCATTACTCCCTCTGTGATCTCTACCATTCTTAACAATTTTGTTTTTATTAATTTACAAATTTTTGACGAGAGTTATAACCCCAACTTAATGTATTTATAAACAAATTGACTTACAGGCCAAGCCAGTTTACAGCACCCTGACCTCTCCCCCATCAGGATTAAGGTAACAAAATATAATACATACGATTTATGAGGTAAAAAATCAATATCATTGTGTTATCATGAGGTATAAAATAAGAACAATATAAATACAAGATTTTATGTACAACCATGACATCATAATTATAACCCTCACAAATTCTGTCATATTCACTGTCATACCAGCATCTATAATGGGTGGAGTCGTCTGCAACTGTCAACCCTCTAAGAGTAAGTGAACACCACGCCAGCCAGTTTTATTTTTGTATTCATTACGTGCAAATGTCCACAAAGGTTCATCTACACTACAATATTCTAACTCATATCCATTAACATAGATAATATAGTACTTTTAACCACTTCCAACACCACTGACAAAAGTGACCAATAATAAAACTACAGTTACACGTCACTATCATTAATAGCACCACAGTTACACGTCACTATCATTAATAGCACCACAGTTACACGTCACCATCACTAATAGCACCACAGTTACACGTCACTATCACTAATAGCACGACAGTTACACGTCACTATCACTAATAGCATCACAATTACACGTCACGATCACTAATAACACCACAGTTACACGCCACTATCACTAATAGCACCACAGTTACGCGTCACCATCACTAATAGCACTACAGTTACACGTCACCATCACTAATAGCACCACAGTTACGCGTCACCGTCACTAATAGCACCACAGTTACACGTCAATATCACTAATAGCAACACAGTTACACGTCACCATTACTTAATAGCACCACAGTTAGACGTCACCATCCCTAATAGCACCACAGTTACACGTCACCATCACTCATAGCACCACAGTTACACGTCACTATCATTAATAGCACCACAGTTACACGTCACCATCACTAAAAGCACCACAGTTACACGTCACTATCACCAATAGTAACACAGTTACACGTCACCATCACTAATAGCACCACAGTTACACGTCACCATCACTAATAGCACCACAGTTACACGTCAACATCACTAATAGCAACAGAGTTACACGTCACCATCACTAATAGCACCACAGTTACGTCAGCATCACTAAGAGCACCACAGTTACACGTCACTATCATTAATAGCACCACAGTTACACGTCAGCACTACACAGTTACACGTCACTATCACTAGCAATTACACGTCACCATCACTAATAGCACCACAGTTACACGTCACTATCACTAATAGCACCACAGTTACACGTCACCACAGCACTTACACGTCAGCATCACAATTACACCACAGTTACACGTCACTCACTAATAGCACCACAGTTACACGTAGCACCACAGTTACACGTCACTATCACTAATAGCATCACAATTACACGTCACCATCACTAATAGCACCACAGTTACACGCCACTATCACTAATAGCACCACAGTTACACGTCACCATCACTAATAGCACCACAGTTACACGTCACTATCACTAATAGCACGACAGTTACACGTCACTATCACTAATAGCATCACAATTACACGTCACCATCACTAATAGCACCACAGTTACGCGTCACCGTCACTAATAGCACCACAGTTACACGTCAATATCACTAATAGCAACACAGTTACACGTCACCATCACTAATAGCACCACAGTTACACGCCACTATCACTAATAGCACCACAGTTACACGTCACTATCACTAATAGCACCACAGTTACACGTCACTATCACTAATAGCACCACAAAGTTACCCGCTGTCACCATCACTAAAAGCACCACAGTTACACGTCACTATCACCAATAGTAACACACAGCTACACGTCACCATCACTAATAGCACCACAGTTACACGTCACCATCACTAATAGCACCACAGTTACACGTCAACATCACTACTGAAGTAACAGAGTTACACGTCAAATTTTCATCATCACTAATAGTCTCACAGTTACATCGCCAACATCACTAAGAGCACCACAGTTACACGTCACCATCACTAATAGCACCACTGTTACACGTCACCATCACCATTAATAGCACCACAGTTACACGTCACCATCACTCATAGCACCACAGTTACACGTCACCATCACTAATAGAACCACATTTACACGTCACCATCACTAATAGCACCACAGTTGCACGTCACCATCACTAATAGCACCCTCACAGTTACACGTCAATACCTTCACGAATAGCACCACAGTTACACGTCACCATCACTAATAAAGCACCACAGTTACGCGTCACCGTCACTAATAGCACCACAGTTACACGTCACTATCCCTAATAGCAATTGACAGTTACACGTCACCTTCACTAATAGCACCACACTTTACACGTCACCTTCACTAATAGCACCACAGTTACACGTCACCATCACTAATAGCACCACAGTTACACGTCACCATCACTAATAGCAGCACAGTTACACGTCACCACCACTAATACACAACAGTTACACGTCACCACCACTAATAGCACAACAGTTACACGTTAGCACCACTAATAGAACCACAGTTTCACGTCACCACTACTAATAGCACCACACTTACACGTTACCTCCACTAATAGCACCATAGTTACACGTCACCACCACTAATAGCACCACAGTTACACGTTACCACCACTGATAGCACCATAGTTACACGTCACCACCAATAATAGCACCACAGTTACCTGTAAAAACACCACTAATAGCACCACAGTTACACGTCGCCACCACTAATAGCACCACAGTTACACGTCACCACCACTAATAGCACCACAGTTACACGTCGCCACCACTAATAGCACTACAGTTACACGTCATCACCTCACTTACAGTGAACGTCGAGGCTGACCATACTGTCCATGGGCTCCTGGTTCCTGTTCTCAAGCACCACGTTCGAGGCCTTGCACGAGAAGCTCTGCCCGTTCTCGAATCGTGTGGCTTCGAATTTCAGGCGACTCCTAGTCTCGTACGTGTCGTCAGGCTGGTATGGGGGACACAAGGTCAGGTGAATCGCTTGTCCAGAATGAGAAGGTCAATGTTAATTACACACTGGAAATCGCAGTCCTGGTAGTTAAGACATAAAAGGAAACCAGGTCAGTTGAGCACTGAACACAAGGCCAACTGTACAATAACTTACTGGGACTAGTAAAGTAAAACTTATCGGAAGGGTTTAATGATGTGAGCCATGAAGGAGAACTACAATATGTGGACGACGTCCCTTACTGTATAATAATTCTGTAAATATTTAGTAATTTGATGTTTGTTGGCAGTTGAGTAAAGATTTCCACACAATTTCTGAATGTATTCTATATTTAATGATATGGGAGTTTACTGGGGGATTACCCTGTTAGGTCACTGTAGAATAGAGCTATAACCCCCAATAGTGTGTCCCCAGACTTGGCGCCCTGACAACTCGAGAGCGTCAGCCGCGAGGGCGTCACTTATCACAGGCGGGATGAGATGGGGGAGTTATAATCCCCCCCCCCCCTTTATTGTCTGTTCTGGTGTCTATTGTACAGTGTGGCCCAATAATGCGACCCAACCGCTGGAAAATGTTCAGTTAACCTGCGGGAAACCGAATACAGCTTCACTGATAATCTGGGCTCACACACATGGCCTACATATCTCTTTTCTAAAATCATATGTATCATGGCCGGGCGTACATAGTAAAACCAGTTCTACTACAAGTTTCTTTCAGTAAATTGTTGGTTGTTTTCTATGAGCACACACTTGATATTCTAATAAAACGACGAGCTCTTAGCGAAATTTCTCGTCCACTGTACTGCTGAACTCACAACAGAATGAAAGTCAAGATTTTGAATAGTTAATACCCTTCACCCATACAAGCCTTAATCTAAGGAAGTAAAACAAAATAATCGAGTGTACAAACAAAAAGATAATACGTCAATCCAAATAAAAAATAATCAATTCAATATACTGTAACATGTGCAGATAGGAGTTAGTATCGCCATGGTCTGGAGTGGAGTGCACGTGTTGAACTGGAGTACACATGTTAGTCAACTTTACTTAACAAGCTTACACAACCTGATGATATATTCCCTAGCGTAAAACACTTATGGAAAGTGGTTCACGTTTTGCTGGCCAGCCACCATCAAGTTATGCGACGTGTTAGTGAGTAAAAAAGGAGCAAACACACACACACACACACACACACACACACACACACACACACACACACACACACACAGTGACTACTTTCACCTCTGCCACTATGACGTCACTGCTGCCACTCCTGGCCACTAATTCATGGTAAACATTCTGCTGTATGACAGCAACAAAGCGATGTGTAGCTACAATATATTTGATTGATGGATTACAGCCGAGGAGATTCGTGACGTCACAGTAGCCGTGGCCCGTGCAAGTGCCGTGAATGAAAAGATTGGAGGTGAGAAAATACACTGGTGAAGGTTCGTCTTAAGACCACGTCACGCACTACGAGGCATCACAGTATAGTTAACGTACTAAGAGGGAGATATAAAGATGACATACAATAAGGAAAACAAATTGTAGAGAGACACAAGAGACAGATTAAAAACAGGCGATTGTAAGACATACTGTATGCCATGAAATGAAGCACGAGAAAGAGCAGACGGCAACAAGAGAAGATAACTATTTCTCCCCCGATTTTTGCTTTTGTAATGCGTGACGTGATCAGCCCAGCAGCAAGACACACGCCAGTGACACAAGAGTTAATCACTCAACCCTCACACCACCCTACCACCACAACACAACGACAGATGATGCTCAAACTTACGAGACGGATCTTGCCCGAGTCCTCCTGGGGATGCAGCAGAGCCAGGCAGCGACAGCAGGGAAGCAAGACAATAATTATTGGTCTCGTGGTTCAATGATTCGGTAGCGGGCAGGGTGGGGGGGGGGGGCACCCAAGTTAGACTAACATAAAAAAAATAATTACCGCGCGTGAAAGTACATTACTACATTACCAGTAAACACTTTCATGCTACTGACGATATTAATGGGGAATTTAACCGATCGTTTGCAATGTGTGGTAGAAGATAATTATTTCATGCGATGTTAAATTTTGTGGATATATATAATTCACAGTTATGAATTTCATGCTACTGCTAAAATTACTTTTTGTACAGTACTCTTCTTCTGAAACTTAAGATTTGTTTTTTTAAATTATGACCGAGTAAAACTTAAGTCTATACAGATTTCATTTATCAATAAATATGTATATCTCTTTGTTTATGTGTGTATATATGAATAAATAAATAAAAAAGTGGTATAACGTTAACCTCGCCCTCGTTATGGACGACGCTTCTTGACCATCACCACCTGGTCTGAACACACACTCTCTCACTCTTACACATTCATACAAAACATAAATAAATCAAACGAAAGAAAATAAATAAAAGCGCCTTCCGTGCCGAGGGTAGATGATAAAAAAATTACCGAATTAAGAAATTGTATATAGTATTATAATTAAATGTATGTAACGATAGAGAGGTGTACTGATTTACCTTCTGAATGATAATGTCACTTACTGAATGACGAAATAAAACACTGAATTAGAGACTAACAACTTATAAAGGCCTCCTCCATATATTTTGTGCTATCAAAATACAAGGTGATGGGGGAGGAGGAGGAGGAAGTAACAGGGAGAACGAGATCCTCCCTTACCTCCCTCCACATTAATTAATATACACCTACAGCTGATCCTTCCTCTTGCACGTGCTCCATTTCTTCTCAGGTTAAAACAATCGATTCTTAGGATAGTCAAATTGATGATATTCGTGTGTTTGCGTCAGGTTCGCTTGTTTTTTGAGAGGACCAGAGGTTAAAAAAATAAATACCGTAATTGGTCGATTTATGGTTCCTCCCTTCACCACCCTTCTTTTCTCTCGCAAGTGTCAAGCTCGAGGTCCATGTATGATATAATAAGTAGTATAAAGAGGATTTAAACAGGCGAGCTTGAGATTTATCCATCCTTAACTCCCCATAAGATCGCATTTGAAAGCTTGTCGCAATGCATTTCCTCAACCTTAGTCATATTAAGCTTCACAGCGGTGGAAAACCTTTTCTACAGTAACTTTTGAAATGACTTCACTTTCTGTACTTATAGTCAAGAAAGTTTACCACTTCTCAGAACAGTGAATGGATACACAAAGCCACACGAAAAAAGTTCACCAGAAAAAAAGTCACAATGAAGTAGTATAATAAAACTGGGAGTTAGTTTTCTATGAGTGTTTTTTTCTCTTCAGCTCAGCACACAGAAGTTTTAGGAGTCGCAGTTATTCAGAAACTTTGGTTTGTGTGTAAAACTTGCAATTACGCATTTTTTACCCGTCCCGCGCGGCGTGTTTAGTAAATAGTGCACATTCACTTTTTAGCAGCTATTTCTTAACAGCAGCGATGTATTCTCAAACCACCGGTGTTAATAACCGTTACAGTTTATCCTCCGGAACTTTAGGTTATTGAACACTTAACCCTTTCCTGCTGATTGTCGCACGTTAGAATTATATTCTGGCCGCCGTCAGACGATTTTATTCAAAATAGAGTAACCTCCAGGAGCCAAAGGGTTAATAATGAACTCAAATAAAGAATTAAGAGGGCAGCTTATAATCTACCCTCTTAATTCTTTACTTGTGGAATTATGCACATTTAATTCTCCAGTTGGTTTATTTTCTACATGCCGGTTTATCAGTTTCATCTCCACTTTGCACACACACATCCCCCGCGGCCGCTTCTCCACAATAATCTTACAGTCGACATGATTTCACGATTAAAACATAAGTGGCTTTCAGCACCACATATTCAGCACACAGTGTTACTTGTCGACCAACAAAGCTACAATACAAACTCCGCAGCAGCGCCTTTTACCATAAATCTATCGTAATCAAAACTAGCACGGCATCAAGCTTCAATTCCGGGGATTTGAAACCATTTGGTGAGACGCAATGCCACATCAAATGGCATCTCAAACTTTACAAAACTTCGATTGTAACCCCAACACTTCACCAAAGAACACTCCACAGCAGAGAAAATAATGACTGTGATAATGCTTTCAGTCGTGACATATAGTTCACTTTTCGAATAAAGATGTGAATTATTCAAGTGGATAATTATTCTTCACCCAACAAGTGGAAGTCGGAGACACCTCATATGTGTTTGGTGTGGTGAAGCCGGAGGCCCACATACGTGTTTGGTGTGGTAAAGTCGAAGACCCTCATATGTTTTGGTGTGGTAAGTCTCACTTCTGTAACTTTGATGAGTTGTGTTTTTCTCACCTAAATGGAACTTCATTACCAACTACTTCCTCCTCCTCCTCCTTCTCCTCTTCCTCTATATTCTCCATCTCATTTTCCTCTCCTCTACATTCTCCTCCTTTTAGCCTGCTCTCCAACGCACAGAAACATACATACCTGGACGTTGACGAGCGTAGGGGCGTCCTGGACAGGTACGGAGCCATTAAGCCAGGTGATGATGGCGGCCGGCCTCGCTCCCTTCACCACACATGACAGCGTTACCTGGTCCCCCTCGTACGTCGCTGACTCCGCCCCGGTCACTGTCACGCTCAGCGGCGGCACTGTAGTGGTGTGGCACAAGATACAGTGTGAGGTAGGGCATGGGTTATGGTGTGGGGCAGGATACAGAACATGATATAGGCATAGAGCAGGGGCCGTGTTGTGGGTGGGGCGGGGTAGGACAAGGGTAAAGGAATGAGAGCAAGGCAGAGGTCACGGTTAGGGGAGGGTAAGGGTCAAGATAAGAGGGCATTGATCACGGTGTGGGGCAGGGTATGGGTCACAGTGTAACGCAAGGCAGGGATCGTGGTATGGGGCAGGACAAAGATAAAAGAATGAGAGCAAAGCAGAGGTCACGGGGTCAAGGAAGGGGAGCAGGCATCAAGGTAGGGGAGCAGGGGTCACGGTGTGGGGCAGGGAAGGGGTCATGGTAAGGGGCAGGGCAGAGGTCAGGGTGTGGGGCAGGACATGGGTCATGATGTGGGAAGGGCAGGGGTCACGGTGTGGGGCAGGGCAGGAGTCACGGTGTGGGGCAGGACATGGGTCATGATGTGGGGCAGGGTAGGGGTCACGGTGTGGGGCAGGGTAGGGGTCACAAAGTAAGGCAAGGCAGGGGTCGTAGTATGGGGCAGAACATGGGTCATGATGTGGGAAGGGCAGGGGTCACGGTGTGGGGGCAGGGCAGGGTCGTGGTATGGGGCAGGACAGAGATAAAAGAATGAGAGCAAAGCAGAGGTCACGGGGTCAAGGAAGGGAGCAGGGATCAAGGTAGGGGAGCAGGGGTCACGGTGTGGGGCAGGAAGGGGTCATGGTAAGGGGCAGGGCAGAGGTCAGGTGTGGGGCAGGACATGGGTCATGATGTGGGAAGGGCAGGGGTCACGGTGTGGGGCAGGACAGGAGTCACGGTGTGGGGGACATGGGTCATGATGTGGGGCAGGGTAGGGGTCACGGTGTGTGGGGCAGGGTAGGGGTCACAAAGTAAGGCAAGGCAGGGTCGTAGTATGGGGCAGAACATGGGTCATGATTTGGGGAAGGGCAGGGGTCACGGTGTGGGGCAGGGCAAGGGTCACAGTATGGGGCAGAACATGGGTCATGATTTGGGGAAGGGCAGGGGTCACGGTGTGGGGCAGGGCAAGGGTCACAGTATGGGGCAGAACATGGGTCATGATGGTGGGAAGGGCAGGGGTCACGGTGTGGGGCAGGACAGGGGTCAAGGTGTGAGGCAGAACATGGGTCAAGATGTGGGGAAGGGCAGGGATCACGCTGTGGGCAGGGCAGGGTCACGCTGTGGGGCAGGGCAGGGGTCACGTGTGGGGCAGGACATGGGTCATGATGTGGGGCAGGGCAGGGGTCATGATGTGGGGCAGGGCAGGGTCATGGTGGGACAGGGCAGGGGTCATGGTGTGGGGCAGGACAGGGGTTACGGTGTGGGGCAAGTAAGGGGTTACAGTGTGGGGCAAGGCAGGGGTCACAGTGCTGGGCAGGGCAGGGGTTACGGTGTAGGGCAGGTAGGGGTCGCGATGTGACACAAGGCGGGGGTCACGGTGTGGGGCAGGGCAGGGGTTACGGTGTGGGGGGGGGTCATGTCCGGGGAATGGCAGGGGTCAAGGTAAGGGACAGGGCAGGGGTCATGGTGTGGGGCAGCAGGGTCACGGTGTAGGCAGGGTCATGGGTGGGGCAGGGTAGGGTCATGGTCTGGGGCAGGGCAGGGATCAAGGTAAAGAGCGTAGGCCAGGGGTCAAGGTAAAAGGGCAGCAGGGGTCAAGGGTCAAGGTAAGGGGTCAAGGCAGGAGACAAAGTAAGGGGGGCAGGGCAGAGATTATGGTAAGGGGGCAGGGCAGAGATTAAGGTAGGGGGGGCAGGGCAGGGGTCAAGGTAAGGGGGTAGGGCAGGGGTCAAGGTAAGGGGGCAGGGCAGGGCTCAAGGGTCAAGGTAAGGGGTCAGGGCAAGTGTCAAGCTATGGTGACTGTCAGAAATAGTGTTGTAAGGAAGTGTCGTGATGTAATTATCTAATGTTTAGCTTACTCAACGGAGGTGCTGGTAGTGAGGGAACAAACACATGCTGTGGAGAGGCTGCAGTAAATGGTCAGTTAATGTGGGCCAAACTATAGCCCTGATGGTGAAGAGGCTGAGAACTGGCAGGGGAAGACTAATGCAAGGCTGCTTCCCTGTTCACCACAAGGGCTAGCCAGCGGCGGTAGCTGAAAGCGAGAGGAAGCAAGCAGTGCTTGAACCTTAACACTAACATAATGCCGCCACACTTGATGCATTACACGCACGCACGCATGCACGCACCACCTTACTTAGGGGGCACCAGGAAGAGAACGTCAAGTATTGGGCCAATATTATATACCGTTGTGGACACTTATGCAAATAGCCAGTGTAATGAACGCTGGGAATAACGACGCCGAAAATGTGAAATAGGCATGTAGCTAAAGGATGCATATCGGTTTATTAGACGATGAAGAGTAGATGGGTAAATTGTGTATAAATGTTGACCTCAAGGGCAAAAAATTAAGGGATAATCTGATAAACTAAAAACATTTGAACAGCGGAGGAAAAAATGTTTGTGTTATAGGAATGCTAAGTAGTGTTTTATGTACCAGTATACATTACAGTATAATTATCAGAGCTCATTAGATAACTATGTTTTATCTACCTATTTAGCAAGTTTTTTCTTCAAATAATAACATTCTAAGTGTCTAATGCTGAATTATACTTACCGTGCATAATGATAAATCCTAACTAATTCACCGGAAATTGTACCTTAAGATAAATTATAAATATTTGTTAATTATTATATAAGAACTCAGTTACATATCAGATAATAAGTGAGGAATACTGACCATTGAGGTCGACAGTGACGGAGGCGGTGAATGGTGAGGTTAAGGCAGCGTTGTCGGCCTCACAGGTGAGGTTGGTGCCCAGATCAGCCCGGGTGAGGGGCACGTGGAGGACGTTCCTGCCTATGCCCGTCCCGTCTTGTTCCAAGATGCCGGAATATTCCCCTGCGAGAGCAAGGAGAGGAGGACGGTCAGTTATGTGCTGGCTGAGATCAATGAAGCAGCAGCGTTTATAAAGGTGCACACAGAGGGTCCCATAACTAAAGAACATTTGTTTTTTTTTATATGAAGTCTTGATATTGATATTATAACTTAATGTTTAAAATTTAAAAAAAAATGTTTTAAAGAAATACAAGTTAAAAAATCAAACAAATATTGAATAAAATATTACCGAGTTATTTCAACTTTAATTTTAAAAATGTTTAGTAATAATTTGTCTTTGTCTGAGGTCAGCATATGACACCAGCTGTATTTCTGACCCTTCGTATTCAGGCTTCACCCGCGTTTTATGAGAGAATTTGCATTTAATTGAGTTTTCTCTCAACGTTAATATCTACGTTTTCTTACTCTCACCTCTCACCACCACCGAGAGAACCTTATTGCATGCTATCCTGATTAGCTTATAAAAAAAAAAATATATATATATATATATATATATATATATATATATATATATATATATATATATATATATATATATATATATATATATATATATATATATATATATATATATCCCTGTGTGATAAAATCACACAGCGAAAAGGGAAACAATGGAGCACCTTAGCTTTCGTCTTTATTCAAGACATCTTCAGAGGCAACTGAATTACATGGACGGAGATGCTTAAGTACACAGGGTAACCTTACTAAACATGAGGTCAGGTCATAGGGTCATGACCTCAGGTCATTTTTTCAGGAAATTCTTCGAGGTAGTAAATAAGGGCGAAAATTACGATGTTATTTACTTAGACTTTAGCAAAGCGTTTGACAGAGTACCGCATCAGAGGCTTCTGAAATAAGTTAAGGTTCATGGTATCGAGGGGAAAGTTTTAAGTTGGATAAAATCATGGCTCACCGATAGAACACAGAGGGTCAGCGTAGATGGTGTTAAATCTGAGTGGGGTTGTGTAACCAGTGGGGTTCCCCAGGGGTCAGTACTGGGCCCACTCTTGTTCATAATCTGCATAAACGATCTAGATACTGGGATCAGCAGTGACATAAGCAAGTTTGCGGATGATACCAAAATAGGGCGGCAGATTAATTCAGGGCACAATGCAAATGCACTACAGGAGGATTTAAATAAACTGCAGGAGTGGTAAGAAAAATGGCAAATGAAATTCAACACCAGCAAGTGCAGTGTACTTAATATTGGAAGAACAAATACTGTCAATGTATACAACCTTAACAACATCAACCTAGAGAAGTCGACTTGTGAAAGAGACTTAGGGGTACTTGTACGCCCGGACCTACGGCCTCGAAAACAGTGCGTTAATGTTCGAAATAAGCCAAACAGAATATTAGGTTTTATATCTATAAGTGTAAGCAATAAGAGTGCAGAGGTCTTATTGCAACTATATCTTGCGCTAGTCAAGCCGCACCTCGACTATGCGGTTCAGTTCTGGTGCCCTGATTATAGAATGGATATCAATTCACTAGAGTCGGTGCAGCGAAGAATGACGAAAATGATTCCGGGACATAGAAACCTTCCATGTCAAGATAAGTTAAAGAAACTAAACTTACATTCCATAGAAAGACGAAGAGTGCGGGGAGATATGATAGAAGTATTTAAGTGGGTGAAAGGAATCAATAAAGGCGATATAGATAAAGTTCTTATAATATCCGAGCAAGATAGGACTCGTAGCAACGGATATAAGTTGGATAAGTTTAGGTTTAGGAGGGAGATAGGAAGGAACTGGTTCACAAATAGGGTGGTGGACGAGTTCAACAGGCTTAGCAACTTTGTAGTAAGTGCTGGAATGCTGGAAAGCTTTAAAAGGAGGCTAGATAGATTTATGGATGATGGAGAGTGGTAGTAACTCTCGACAGGAGCTGCCATGCACAGGCCAACCGGCCTATTGCAGACTCCTTATTTTCTTATGCTCTTATGTTCTTAACACCAGAGCCAGCCTCAATATTAGCGCAACTCACACTGAGAATTTTTCAGTAATAGGTCATGGGGCCAGTGTAATTAAATGTACATACACACCAGTCCTGTTTGTTTAACCACCTTTATGGAAGAAGTGAACGTCCAAATGCACTACAATTATCGACAGTGTCAGGCATCCTACTGATATCAATGGGACTCTAAACAACCACAAGCAAATCACTTTTAGGTGGAACTGTATACTGACAAGGCCCACTCCTCACAGGCCTAACAAGTAACAGGTCTACAGGTGATAGCAGCTTCAACGGGATACATTTTTCTAACCTCTGAAGAGAGTTACAGTGTCTACGACTTACTACAAGTTACGGCATCTACCTACGTCTACAAGCGTTCACGTTTACATCTACACTGGGTCTAAAAGCTCCAGACAGCTTCTACCTGATTCATCACGACTGAGTTCCTGAGTAAGACATATCGTCAGTTAAGTGCTCAATACAGTGATTAATATTAGTGAAGCCCAGTGTAAAGTTCCAAACTTCTATTACAGCAGGGAAATTCCACTACTTCATCCGTGATATAGTCACTAACGTATGAACACGTCATTAAACAACTTCAAGATTTGTCGTCTACGCCAAGAATCACCTTCCTCATAGACCATGATTCACAACATTCGCCGACCCCAAGGGAGAAGAATTACGCTTTTCTCCACGACATCAGCTGATCGCCCAGGAGGAGCACCACATGCTTCCTCACCTCCTCGCGGCCTTGAAACAGCTGGGGGCACCACACACCCGCGACGGGAGAGTAGACTTCTTCCTCCTTCGCACAGCTGGGAGCAGAGAATCAACCTCGTCACTCACCCATTGAGTTCTGACCTCACTAGAGGAAAGTTCACGGCAGGCTTAGCTCCTGTGGATTGATTGTCAGTAATGGCTAGTGCTACTTGTGAACAGGGCTGTGCCCTTCAGAGGGCCAAGGAAGAAATCTTGAAATTAAAGGAAGTCATGGCGAAGATAAAGGAAGAAACGAGACAAGGAAAGCCTGTGTCTTACGAAGACTCAGGCGAAATGAAGGTTGTGAGGAGAGGAACGACAAAGCTGGTCGTGAAAAAACACACCAAGGGTACGACAACAACAGCTTAGTGTACCAACTCTTTCAGTCCTTTGATAGACGAATTGGACGTTAGCATAGTCAGGGACAAGGATGACAAGGAAAGTACGAAAACTTAATTGTTGGCGATTCCCAGGTACAGGATAAAAATGAAAATAGGGTGAGGGCGTGTTTGCCAGGAGCTGGGGTGGGGGGTATAGTTGACAGGATGGACAATATCTTGTCTGGTAAGGGGAACAAACCCATTATCTGCCTCAGTGCAGGAAGATATGACATTGGCCGTTGTAGGAGTGAGGAGATTCTTGATGAGTTCAAGACAGCTATAGAACGTATTAGGTCGAATGGAGGGATCCCTATCATATGTGGTGTCCTACCTTGAAGGAAAGTTGGCAATGAATGGTTGTCAAGGGCAGTTGGTGTTAACGGCCATCTTGACAGATATTGCAAGTCAATATCAATCCCATTCATTGACAACTGGGACTCCTTTTACGGCAGAAGGGACCTTTATGCTAGGGATGGGGTGCATCTGTCTAGGGTTGGGGTGGCTACCCTGGCTGGCTCTCTCGACAGGGCGGTTCAAAAGATATGGAAGTCTTTAAGCTGCTTGGAGAACGTATGAGCAAGGGAGTGGAGGAGACTGCAGTAGGAGCGGGTAAACAAAGTGAAAGGTTACAGCGAAATAGTGCTAGGAATGATGACGAAACTAAATTAGGCAGGGAGTTACAATCTAAACGCGACAGAGAGAGGACTCAGAACACGACTAACTTAAATATCTACTATGCAAGCAGTAGAAGTATGAGTAACAAAATGGGTGAAATCAGGGCATTAGTATGTACCGAAAAAATCGATATAATGGCATTCACCGAAACATGGATAAACCTAGACTCACATGAGTTACCTGTCGAATACCAAATTGCAGGTTCCAAATTATTCCATACCGATAGGCAGACTAGGAAAGGAGGCGGAGTAACAATCTATGTCAGGGATAATCTGCAGTGTGAAATAAATAAGGAAATAAAAACTGAGCGGAATACAGAAACAATTTGGATAAAATTAATCGATGGTAGTGAAAATTTATCACAGGAGTAATATATAGACCTCCTAATCTTGATAGACTTAATGAGCGACTTATTTGGGATGAAATGCGCAGGGCTTCCATTGGATTGACCTTAAGGGTAACTCAGAATAAGAGGATTTTCTTGAAACAATCCAGGACTGTTTCCGAAGCCAACATATAATCGAACCTACCTGGGGTAATAATATACTCGATTTAGTTCTGTCAAACAGAGAAAACCTCATTAGTAATGGCGAGGTAGGGAACAAAGTTGCTAACAGCGATCACAAAATATAAGATTCCAGTTAGAATTTCAGGGCAGCCTCAAGGAAAATTCCACTAAAATCCGAGATTTTAGAAAGGAAAACTTTGATAGTTTGAAGAGGCAGCTGAGAAAAGGGGTATCATGCTTGGGGGTGAATTACATGACCTAAAATGAGGTGACCTCACGCAATGTATCCACAGACGGCGACCTCACCTTACCTGGAGACCTCACGGTTCAGGATGACCTGATCACAAGATTTGAGGTTGACGAGTTCCACAAAAATTTAAATAATGAGTTACTTAATGCACAAAGGCAGAACATACCATACAGAAAACTCAGATCAAACACCAATTACCCTAAATGGATAAATAATTATTTAAAGAATATTATTGGACAAAGGAAGGCTATAGGTAGGAGAATAAATCGTGGTGAAGTTTACCTCTGAGATTTTTATAAGGTATTGGCCGGTAGGGTTAAGACCGAGATAAGAAAAGCAAAGAGGAATAATGAACTGAAGGTAGCAAGGAAAGCAAAGTCAAACCCCAAGAGTTTCTACCAAATGTATCAAACTAAAACAAGAGAAAAGATTGGACCAATACAGTCAGATACCGGAGAGCTAACTGATAACGATGGAGAAATGAGCACTAATCTGAATAAATATTTTTCAACAGTTTTCACCACCGAAAATTTAAACATGATACCAGAGGCACCGACTCTATACAGAGATAGTGAAGAAAATAAATTAAGCGACATAGTAGTGACTAGTAACGATGTTAGTAAGCAAATAGACAAACTAAAGCCTCATAAGTCACCAGATCCCGATGAGATATTTGCCAGGGTATTAAAGGAATGTAAGGAAGAGCTTAGTATGCCATTTTCAAAGTTGTTAACGTGTCCTTAAAAACGGGTGTAGTACCAGAATCCTGGAGGATAGCGAATGTAATACCGATTTTCAAGAAGGGAGATAGATCACTATCCTCTAACTACCGTCCAATCAGTCTACCATCAATTGTAGGCAAATTACTGGAAGCAATCATTTCAAACTCTATTCGAAATCACCTGGAGAAGCACAGGTTGATCAATGATTCCCAGCATGGCTCCACAAGCGGTCGTTCATGTCTAACTAATCAATTAACCTTCTTTTCATCTGTTTTCGAATTAGTGGACGAGGGGCACAATTATGATGAGGTATATCTCCAAAACATCCTTGGACCTCATTATTCACCAGTTTCCACAGCCCTACATGGCTACAAACACCACACCTTCTCCTATTGCTCCCCCTGCATATAGTGACAGGAGTAGAAGGAAGAGAGGTCTTCTAAATTTCTTGGTATACATTCATAAATCATTGTTAGGAGTAGCCACAGAAGATGACTTAGCCCAGTTGCGGAAACAGATTACTGTACTTAAGCAACAGGCCGACCAGAATTCTGCATTTCTGTTCAGCCAATCTCATCTGTTAGCTAATCTTGGTAGGAAGCTAGATGAGATCACGAAGACTATCAATCAGTTGGTGAATAAGGATAGCCTTTCAGTTCCTTACAAGAGCAATTCATCATAACCACTATGATACACTCTTTGTCAAGTCAAGTAGAGTATTGTTGTAATTATTTTCTTTCCTTAGTCACCAACCTGAAATTATTACAGCCTTCTCTCTGTTTCTGTCACACCCGATCAAATTATATTGAATCTGCCATTCGTGGATAAGCATGAGTTCCAAAAATTTGACAATATACCCTTCCCTAGTATATAGAATGGTCAAGCTGTAATAATAATTAAAGTTTCCACATCTATCCTGCTGTCTAGAGATAGATCCCTCATGGCGACTCCACCTCCGTCAGCATATGCTACATGCCTGAAGGAGTCAAGTAATCTTATTTGTTATTCAACACGAATTAATGTAGCCAGGTCTTATTCAAATTGTGAGATGGACTTAGTCAATAACAGGACAAATTTAGAGTCATGTAGTTTTGTTAACAGACACTTTGACAGTGTATTTTAGAAGATATCCAGGGTAATGTTTATTTGTATTTCCCACAGGAACTGCCCGTTGTAGTGATCTACCCTGATGAATCGCCTAGAAGCTTCACTGTGGGACGAGGACGTTATAAGTTACCACGGCAATGCTCATTGTCTTCGAGCCTGCTCACCATATGGGGAACTACACGCCATGACGCATCGTCCATCCTCAGGAAACCTATCGCCTCTCACCCATTGGACCTTCAGAAAATACACCGAAGTGAAGTGATCACAAACATTACAGTGTTGAAGGACAAATCAATGGATACCGATAGTGATGATGATGCAGCCTTGTGGCACCCACTGACATTTGTGACAGACGATACTCATCCCACAGTGACTTCAGCCCTGGTGGTGTTCGCTGTGATTACCACTATAATAATTATATTTTCCGTAGCCTTCTATGTAAAGAAGCAACTTTGTAAATCAGCTTTAGGTAAATCTGCTATACAGGCAGCTGTCCCCAATATTATTCAACACGCAGCCTAACGCAGTACATAGTGGTAATCATTTGAGATCATCACCAAGGTAGGCATTTAGCAATACCCATGTGATAGGACTCTTTCTTTTATTTTAGTCACGGTGACACGATGTGGCCGAGCAATCTGTAACAAAGTATAATTTACATACTGTATAATTTAGAGTAAGTAATTAACAATTTACAACCATGGATGTATAATTATGAACATTCATTATTCAATGACCTGTAGAGGGTAAAGGTTGTTCATAGGTTTTAGCGCTTGGCGTGAGACTAAAACATCCCACAGACGTTTTGTCTTGTCCGAGTGTCGATGAATCATGCAACTCTCCCACTGAGTAGTAGGTAATTCTTTAAACACTAATTAGATTGCTCATATGTGGTAAATGGATACTTTACTTCACACTTGTAATACGTCTAGTATGTTAGATAGTTATAGAAGTAATATATAGATAATGGCACCGCCAGTCGAGAGTGATTCACGGGTCAACGGGATCATTTACCAGCCGGTTATTTATACACGCAATGTAAACACTGCTGACTGTTGTTCGGCTTGACTTTCCACGGAGGTGACTACTTCCTCCATCGAGAACCTTCTAGATAATAGAAGCTTGACTCATAGATCGCCCTGGTGGCGAGTGCAGGAATTATTCTATACGGGCGTGGCATAACCAAGCCCCTTTCGTAGTCTTGAGCTGGACCCCTTAGAGTAAAGATCTACACCTGAACTACCTCAGTACAAGCTCGCCTAACACCAGAGCCTGCTTCAGTACTAGCGCGACTCACACCAAGAACTCTTCAGTAATAGATCAAGGGGGCAGTCTAATTAACTGTACAGTATTTAGAGTTGTATATATCACACTGTACATATGAACCAGTCTTGTGTTTGTTTAACCACCTTTATGGAAGAAGTGAATGTGCAAATGGATTACAATTATCGACTGTCTCAGGCATCCTATTGATGTCAACGGGACTCTAAACAACTACAAGTAAATTACTTTTAAGTGGGACAGTATACTGACAAGTCCCACTCTTCACAGGCCTTACAAGTAACAGGTCTACATACATGTCTAACCCGTGTTGTGTGTGTACTGTATATGTCTGTCCCCGTGTTGTGTTTGTACAGTCAGCCAAAGAAGCAACGACCCCACCCTGAATCTCGTACTCATAATTTTCCCCGGCAATATTTGGGAAAGTAAGGTTGTATGTAATGGTGAATGTGATTGGTGGATCTATTTTTGGCTGTATCCAAAAGTAGCATTTTTATAATAAACTATTCATAGTTATTTAAGATAATGAGAAGTTTCCAAATGATCGTATATTTGCTTAAATAATGAAGAAATTATATTAATGAATTGGCAACTCAACTACAACGAGGGCTGCCACAAGATTATCAGATCAAATTTTCTTCATTATTCCAGCTAACCCACCTGCTAGATTTTGGCTGCCGTTCAACCAGGTGACGCGGGCGACGGGCTTGCCTCCCCCTGACTCACAGATGAGGGTGAGGGTGGTGCCCTCGTCGAAGGGCCCCACTGTTGTGCCGGTCTCGACGGGCGATCCATCCTCGAAAGTCATCTGAAGATACTTCGGCAGCGCTGTGGGTGGGAGAGGGGGGGGGGGAGATTTATTATTCTATTTATGCTAGGGCAGTACTCCTCCTTTCATCAGATCTCCAGTAGCTAAATCTATATCGGCCTCCTCTTATTAAAATAGCTAAAGTTTATTTCCATTCAATAAGTATAAAATCTATATCTCGATCTGTAAAACAAAAGAAAAAGTAATTATTTTTATGTCATTAACAGCCGCAGCAACGGCGATGGAAACAGAGCCATAGACACTCCTTCTGGAGACGACAGGTTGAGGAAACAGCCAAGTGGTGCCTGAGAAGTCTGTTACTTAGACATTACTCTACCAAATATATTAAACCCAAACGAGATCATTTTACGTTACTCTAACTTTTACAAGGATTTGAGTTTTATCAGTAAGAACTTGTCATAAAAAACCCACTCAACTAAACACAAAACCAAATCTAAGTTGAGTAAATGTTGGGGCTAATGGCAAAAAAAAAAAAGTTTTGTTTTAATAGCGGCAAGTCAGTGATCAGCGAAGGTGGATTCCTTACTGCCGATGGCTGTAAGTATGTGAGGCACAAGGCGCCTGTACCATCCCAGTATGGGTTCACGCCAACTGCAGGGTGTGAGTGGGTGGGGCAGGGGGAGGATGATGTTTGTAATGGTGGGTAGGGGGGGGGGAGGGGACGACGGCGGCGGTGTTGTCAACTATTGTCAGCGTTTTGTGTGAGAAGTTTTTAAGAACCTCGGTGTAAACAATTGCGAAACAAAAGTTCTGGTGGGGAAGTTTCTAAAAATTTCATCACTTCGTTCTCCTCTTCTTCCTCACCATCCCCCTCTTCCTTTTCCACTTCTTCCTCCATATTATTTTTCACTTTCTCCACCTCACCCCTCTTCGATTTCTTTTCTTCCCACTTCTTTACATCTCTTCAATGGACGGACGGACGCATAGTATGAAAATCACACTGGTGGTGAGATAGATGGATGAATATGTTGAATGAGACAAAAGGACATACGAGTACATGTTACGGACGGACGGACAGACATGTAGTATGACAGACGAACTGACAGATGGAAGGACAACCCCCCCAGGACATAGAGTGTGGCGGAAGGAATAGACAAAGGCAAGACTTCAACTTTCATCCTCAGAATTACATCAAACAGGTGAACAATATAATACATTATTCCCTAAAAAAACAAATACCGTAGACACAGTACTAATACAATTAGAGCCCAGCCAGGAGTCTCTCTACGTACCGTGAGTTGTGAGGTTGACAAACTGCACCACCGAACAGGCCTCACGGACGGCCAGGTACGTGATCTCGCACTTGTAGAGGCCCTCGTCCTCCGTCCGTAGCGGGAAGATCTCCAGACTGCTTTCCGTACCGTTAGCTGCATAGTGGAAGTCCGTTCTGGAGGAGGAGGAGGACTTGTGTGAATCGGAGAAGGAAGAAATGTGAGTCCTGAAGGGAGAGAACTCGTTGGTCCAGGAGAGAGAGAACTCATGAGCCCAGGGGAGAGAAAGAGAGAACTTATGAGTCCAAAAGAGAAAGACAGAACTCATCAGTCGAGGAGAGAGAATGCATGAGTCCAGGAGAAGAAACTCATGAGTCCAGAAGAGAAAGAGAGAACTTATGAGTCCAGAAGAAATAGAGAGAATTCATGAGTCCAAAATAAAGAGGGAAAGAAGTCATAAGTCCAGGAGACAAAGAGAAAACTCATATGTCTTGGAGAGTGAACTCATTAGTCCAGGAGAGAGAGAACTCATGAGTCCAAGAGAAAGAGAGAGAAAACTCATGAGTCCAGGAGACAAAAAGAGAGCTCATAAGTCCTGGAGAGAGAACTCATTAGTCCAGGAGAGAGAGAGAGCTTATGAGTCCAAGAGAGAGAGAACTCATTAGTCCGGGAGAGAGAACTCACGAGTCCAGGAGACAAAAAAGAGAGCTCCTGGAGAGAGAACTCATTAGTCCAGGAGAGAGAGAGAGCTTATGAGTCCAAGAGAGAGAGAACTCATTAGTCCGGGAGAGAGAACTCACGAGTCCAGGAGAAAGAGAGAGAGAACCAATGAGTTCAAGAGAGAGAGAGAAAAAACCGATGAGTCCAGGAGACAAAGAGAGAACTGATAAGTTCTGGAGAGAGAACTCATTAGTCCAGGAGAGAGAGAGAACTCATGAGTCCAAGAGAGAGAGAACTCATTAGTCCGGAAGAGAGAACTCACGAGTCCAGGAGAAAGAGAGAATTCATGAGTCCAAGAGAGAGAGAACTCATGATTCCTAGAGAGAGAGAACTCATAAATCCAAGAGAGAGAGAACTCATGAGTCTAGGAGAGAGAGAGAGAACTCGTGAGTTCGGGAGACCGAGAGAGTGAGAGAACTCATGAGTCTAGGCGAGAGAGAGCATTAACTTATGAGTCTAGGAGAGAGACAGCGAACTCGTGAGTCTAGGAAAGACATAGAGAGAGAGAGAGAGAGAGAATTCATAAGTCCAAGAGAGATAACTCATGAGTCCAGGAGAGAGAGAGAGAGAGAGAGAGAGCTCATGAGTCTAGATGAGAGAGAACTCACGAGTCACAGAGAGAAAGAGAACTCATGAGTCACGGAGAGAGAGAGAACTCATGAGTCACGGAGAGAGAGAGAACTCATGAGTCACGGAGAGAGAGGGAACTCATGAGTACTTACGACAGAGATCAAATATAACAGATATAACACAATACATACAAATAAACGTACCATATTAGGTCATATATATCATTATATATAAGGAACACCATCGGTAATTAGAAATAAATACAGTATAATGTATTCGTCAGTCAATATTTTCTTATATATTATCTTCCTGTGACTATAAAAATTAGAGTCCATAATATGACATGGCTTATGTCGGTGTGTTCAAGGTGTTAAGGGAATATGTTTGTGTAATGATCCTAACGACACACCTACAACTGTCATCATCATCACCACAACAACTGTCATTCTCTTTTACCGGTTCCCTCCTTCTCCTCTTTCTCCTTCTCCTTCTCCTTCCCCTTATTAATAGCTCCCCCCTCCTCCTCCTCCTCTGTTACCGGCGTCCCCTCCTTTTCCTCTTCCAACGCCTCCCTTCTCCTCCCCTTCCTCTTTCAACGGCTCGCTCCTCCCTTCCATCCTCTTTCAATGGTCCTCTCCTCCTTCTCCTCCTCCTTGTTTTTCAATGACTCCCTCCTCCTCCCCCTTCCTCTCCCCTTTCAATGATTCCCTCCTCCTCCTCCTCCAATGGCTCCCTCCTTGTTCTCCTCCCAGAGCTCACTCTCCCCCTCCTCCACCACGATTTATACATTAACATCTGAAGAAAAAAAAATGGTTTTGAGACGTCCTCCTCGCTTTAAATTTCCATAAAATATATAACAGCTGTGGAAGACTCAAAACGTCTTCTTATGCTGACAGTGTTTCCAAGAGTGAAACCCGTCAGTGTAAGATACAACACGTTAACACTGAGATATTAGTGTAAATATCTGTGAAAGTTTACTACAATAAAAGGAAAAAATGCAGATATTCAGTTCGTCAGTCAGTTAGTCACTCAGTCTTCGAAGAAACACGTCACAGTCCAACGCCACAAATATTTTACGAATATAACAGTGATGTTGTTATATAACGTAAACAGGAGCACACACACACACACACACACACACACACACACACACATACATGCTACGCCCTCACAGCAACAGCCTCCCCTACCCTTTCTTCACGTACGGGGAAAACGCGGAAGTAAAAATATATATTAAAAATTCACTACAAGGCCACAATCGTACACCAGCTGAGGAGGGAGCCTATTTTTACATGGCGTGTGTTTGTGCTAACCTTCAGGGGACCACTGAACGAAAAGATTTCCTTAAGCTGCAACCGTTTAGGGAATATTCTGCTCCTAGGATTTATTTAAGGCTTATACTGATATTCTTACTTTTTTATTCAACATTTTACAATCTATTTTTTACATACTTAGGATTTACTCTTTGTTTAAGATATACTTAAAAATACCTGGATGAAATAATTTACTGATATTAAAAATTCAGACCATTGGGTTTGTGAGATTTGACACTTTTCGTGTGTAATGACGAGTGGGGATTTTATTTTTTGTTTATCTTTTTAACATTCTGAAGATGACGTATGAGGATGCTGACTAGTTGAGTCTAATCTTTTTCCTTTATATTCTAGGATTAGGTAATTTCTATTTCACTTTTAATTGGAATTCGGAGCCTTAATTTTCAATTATATTTTCATTTCTTAACATCCCTGTGTGTTGATGTATACATTAAAAAGTATTATTTCGGATTTTGGGAAGAGTAGGCAATCCAGTTTAAACACACCTAACGCGAACCTAACCTAACCGTTATTCCATGTAGTATTAGGGTGTTTAAATCAGGTGAAGTACGCATGGGTGCCTAATTTTCACGAAATCCGTTATTTTTTTAATTTTGCTTCACCTGGAGCGACACACGACTGCGAAGTATTCTCGTAATGTCCGCCCCTACCCCACAAAAAACAAACAAATATAGTTCGTGTATATTAACGTGGTCAAGTGTAGCCCTGACGGGGTTATGGGCACGTGGAGAGGCAGTAGATACTCCAGTAGGTCAACCTGAATAAAATCGGTGGGAGTGAGAATGTCAGCGCAGCATTTGTCATCATGGTACAGTCTCCTCTTGTCCGATTACAGGGGCTCGTCAGGTTTTGTGCAGTGAGGCAGCGCTGTGTTTGTTTACATTCGACAAAAGGAAACTCACAATAGTAAACACACTATGGAATCAAATTAAATCAATATTAAAACAAATATCTAAGAAATAATGATTTGTGAAATGTTTATATGACGAGCCCAGGTAAACGCACAAGTGAAGGAGACTGTACGTACAGTAAATCCTGAAAGTGTACAGAAACAGCCTGGGAACTTGATGTGGTAAGTCCTTAGTATACCCCACTGTTCTTTCCTATATAGGACTTTATATTTCAGGGACTATTATTTGTGTGTAAATTATAACAGGGGGAGGAAATTTCATATAAAGACGTTGTTTTCAGATATCAAAAGATTCCCAGTGGAAATGTTTTCAATGTGATCTGAACAAAGGGAATCAAAGCCCAATGTGGTGGACGAAGATAAATGACAGATGGTACAGGAAAATGAACAAGGGAGAAAGAGGGGTTACATTTTCCCCAAAGTTCGATGACATTGCTGATGACAATGGCATATGTATTCGGACAAAATAATTAACAAGAAAAAAACAGGAAGGCAGCAGCTATGAGATTCTTTACCGTACTCAGACAAATTTCTCATACCTCCACAGTGGACAATTTGACTTGGAAATAGGGAAAAGCAGCAACTGGACGTCTGAGGTGAAGAAAACACGTGGCATTTCAGATTACAAAAGATGTCGTTGAATCGCATCACAAAGACGCCACTGCCAAACGTGGTGTTCAATCTGAGTGAGCTATTGCAGAAAACGAAGCAAAACATTCTATTGTCAACAGCCCTGAGTTTAATATACAAAAGGTTTTTTTTTCGTGTACTGCTCGGAGTCACAACACAGAGGCGGATCCAGAGGGGGGGTCCTGGGATCCGGACTCCCCCTTCTCATCAGAAAATTCCAATACATTTTCTCTTATGTAATATTGTACTCAGGTGTTTTTTGTATAATAACTATTGACCTCAGAATATCTCCTAATATCAAGTGTACATGACTTCAAAGTGGCCTTAAGATGTCCATGATATTGGTCAGGTTTAAAAAAATAGGGTGGGGGGAGTGGGGCTCACAGCACCCTCGCCCAAACCCCCCAGCTGGGTGGGCTCGCTGTGCTCGCCATGTTCCCTCACCCAAAACTTCTTGGATCCACCCCTGCAAAATTACCATGAAGTATTTATCGTCGGTAAAAAAAAGGAGAACGAGGGTGATCCTACTCGGAATGTTGTATTCTATATAATATGTCAGTAAAATGTTTGAGAAGAAACATTCAATTCTCACTGTGGCCTCAAGTAAGAAAAACGGCATACAGCCTGACGATGCAGAGCTAATAAATTCTTCTCCCTGTCCAAATGTGGGTAACACACGAAAGTACAGAAAGAAGAGGTGAGGTAAGGCAAGGCCAATGTGTGTGTGGGGGGGGGGAGGTGAGGGAATCAAAATTTAGAGTAGGTGTTCCCAAACACGGGGTCACGATGCATCATAAGGAGTCACAATGCATCATAGACCTCACGGGGTCCTCGGGCTTTTATAGAGGTCATGGGGTCGATGGGCTGTCATAGAGCTCATAGGTCAGTGGATCCACCTGGTTCTTGCGGCGGTCACATGTGATTTTTTTTTTTAGCGCAAGTGTCAAGGACTGAAGGACGTGGCCGGCAGGTGCTGGTTCGTTAAGTCGGGACCATAATTTACGGTCAAGGG